CACCCACTCACACCCACACTTTCCCTTGCCCTTTCCCACTTTTTCTGATTCTTAAATGGCAACAGTCGAAGGGGGAGGGGGTCAGGGTATTTGCCCAGCTGGTCGCCCGGCCTGTTTTTGCCGGCTTGTTACACCAAGCGCTGCCCTGAGGCTAGGGGCCATGGTGCCAGGCCGGAGGCAGAGGCAATGGGTCTTGCCAGCTGGCTTCATCGATTCCTCTATGGGGTTGGTAGTGGATGATAGGGTTGGGGTGCGAGCTGGTAATAGGGCTGGGTTTGGGCGTAAGCTCTGACTTAAACGTAGGCTTAGGCTAGGTTTTGGCTCAAGCTCGGCCTTGGGCTTGGGATTGGGCTTAGGCTTCGCTTAGACTTGGCTTCATTTAGGCCTCGTTTAGGCTTTGTTTTGGCTGCGCTTCGGCTTATGCTGGCTTTTGAAGCTCATAAAGCCAATTTTTGTCATAATCCCGTCCCCAAAAACCTTCGCTATCTCGCTGGCCCCCCTCCAACCCCGGCGGTTAAGCCAAAAACCGACCGTATCCCCACTGGAAAGCAGCGTTGTCTGACCCGAAATGCCCTTCCAAAGTGCCCCCCACCCTCGCTCACCTTTCGATAAAAGGGCATAGCTGTGTCTTGAGGGTTTCTCTCTCTGACAAGGACTATCAGAAGCCGCCTGGAATCAAGATTGTGTTTGCGGCAAGTTGGAGCTGACGGGGGGAAGAGCTTTGGCGCATGACCAATTTATGATACGGAAGCCGGGGACGGCTGTTTTGGCGGCGTGTGGTCAGATGGGAGGGAAGGATTATTGCTGAGGTCAGCCGGGAATGGGTTTTTGTTTTGCTACGGTGACCGACTAAGGTGGTAAGCTAGCAGACATCACTTAGAAAAAACGTTAACGATAAGGGCAGGCCACCAAAGATCCCTTACGACAAGCTAGCAGGGATCACTTGAGGACAGCGAGCTAGGCAAGCTAGCAAAGACCATTTAGGAAGGCACACTAGGGCAGGCTAGCAGGGAAAATTTAGGAAAAGCTTGCAGAGCAGGCTAGCAGATTTCTTCTTGGGGGAAACGGTACTAGGGCAAGCTAGCAGAGATCCGTTAGGAAAAGCTGGCCAGGTAAGCTAGCAGAAATCATTCAGGAACGTGCCTCATAAAAGGCCCCGGAAGGCGTTTATTAAGCCCAAAGGTCAGAAATTTTTTGCATTTCCTGTTTTTTAAATGGTACCAAATCTGGATTTTCAAACATGAGAATTTGATATGTATCTGCATTCCTGCCTCCTTTAAAATCCACTTTTTGATTTCCGGGACATTTTAACATCTCAATTAAAAGGTGCCGATTCCTTTAAAAAATCTTCTTGCTTGAAATAGGCTCCGAATTCCCGAAACCAATTATTCCAAATGGCGATTCCCCTCTCCGGCATAATCCCCCGGACCCCTTCGCGGCGGGACCCCCAAGCCAGCCCCGGAAAACTATAAAAGCGGCGGCTTATCATTCTTGGCTCTCGCCCCTCACCTCGACAGCCTCCTGTTTTTTGCCCAATTTTTCTGCTGGCAATATTGGCGAGCCAAGGGGGGCGAGCCGCTCAGTCTCATCGCCTATCAGAAACGGGCGGTTACTGTATAATGATGGACAGTAGTCCGCCGGCTTGACCAGTCGGTTTCGCAACGATTTTTGGGATTTTTGTGCGCGTTTTCGAGGGTTTAAAGAGAGTGTGACATCAAGAGAACCCTTCTTTCTGTTATTTGACGTTTTTCACAACTCAAATTCGTTGTCTCAGCTGTTATATCGCCTTTAAAACGCTAGAAATCGCTCGAATTTCACGAATTTTAGCCTTTTAAAGGGAGTAGGACAGCTTGGAAAGCTACCGAAAACGGCTATTCCAGCTGGCAGAGTGCAAAGCTTCAGCTCAAAGCTCTAGTTCAAAGCTCTAGCTTAAAGCTCTGGCTCTAAAAGCTCTCAATAACGCCTTTAAAAGGGTTAGTTTCCTCTCAAAACGCATTTTTTGCAAATTTTTGCCTTCCCCAATTTCTCATATCATGACGGGCCACTTACTGAGCCGGCGGCCATCATCCAAAGTAGGCCGTTTGGGGCGATATCCTCCTTTTGCGCACCCGAAAGATTCAAATCTCGTCTCCAGCGCTCGGCTGAAAAAGGGTGCCAGGCCGCAGCAGCTCCGCCTGGGCTAATTGGGGGCACTATTTTTTTCGAGAGAGGCGCCGAGATCGGATCGAAATACTTGGGGATAAGCGCGGTTTTCCAAGGCGGCGATTGATACGCGAAAATCTCATGAAATATGTCGCTTTGCCTTCAGCGTACCTTTAAAAGCCCGTTTTCAGAAATTTTTTGTGAGCGCTTTGGTTTTGGAAAGATGCCAAGAGGGCGTAGATTTCTTCAAACAACACCTTATGCAAGAGTGTGCCCTAATCCGGGCCATAAACAGTACGACACGAGGGCCCAAGAGGGGAAGGGCCAAGAGTTTGGCAACGGAGTCTTGATAGAATTTCTTGTTATCTCTCTCTTTTTCTATCTCTCTTTCTCTCTCTCGCTCTTTCTCACTCTCCCGCTCTATCTCTCTCGTTCTCTTTTTGATTAAGGCCTACTTGCAGAGAATCCTTAGGAAAAAGGGATTCCCAGAGAGGAACCCACGGCAGGCAAGCTAGCATAGATCATTTTGGAAGTTGGGCCTAGTCACTGTATTAAGTTGGTTCTCAAGGAATTTCTGCTAGCCTGCCTTCGTGATTGGAGACGATCATCCTCAAGAATCACGGCTACCTTGCCGGGGGTTTTCGGCAGCGAATTTCTCTCTCTCGCTCTCTCTCTCTCTCTCTCTCTCCTGATTCTATCGATACTGCTGTCCAGTTCCAAAAATATCCGTTTCCAATACATCGCCTTTCTCTCCCTATCTCTCTCTCCCGCTCTCTTCCCTCTCTCACTCTCTCAAGCCCCGCCCCTCCCCCTCCCCTTATTCAAATGGGAGGAGTCCCGGGGTCCGATCGGCCCCACCCTCCCCCCCCCATCCACATCCCCCTTCTCTCCTTCTCCACTCTTGCCAGTCCAACCAGACACCCCAGAGGGCACATTCAAATGCCCTCCTCCTCCCACCCACCCATTCCCAGTGGCCAGTTCTATTGTTCAGTCACCAAATCTTTACGAGGCTTACGATCGTCGCAGGATCGTCGATAGTTCAGAAGCGTACTGCAAGATTTCGGGCTACAATAGCTTGATTTTAATTTTAAGCGGATCTCGATTTTTGTCGACTCAGAAATTATCTCGAAGTTTTTTTTGAACGTCTTGAACTTGTGGTTTAACGTTTCTAATTTATCCTCTGGGGTTTAAGCTACAGTACCCTGATTTTAATGTTTGCGGCAAACTTTCGTAATTTTCTCTCGATTTTACATAAATTTGATTTTTTTGAACGTCTCGAAATTGTCGTTTCGAATTTTTGCGCGTTTTTTTCCTATTTTTACCCTAATTTAGCACGATTTTGTCATTGTTACGAAACAACGGTATATTGCCTCTCTTCTCTTTAATGTCATAGAACTTTTAGAAAAATTCTTAGGGTTACCGTATCCCCTTCCCTCATTTTTGTCATTTTTAGGAAGTTTTCGAGCTGTCTACAGTATGCAAATACTTTTTCACACTTTTTGCAGCGTTGGCTGGCCTGTGCCATCCCCCCGGGCTTCAGTGGTGTGTCACCAAATTTGCATATTGGCTATCGTTCTCCGCCCCGTTCAGCCACCCTTCGAAACCGGTTTTTGGGCATGGCATTATTCTTATCTTTTGGTTACAATTCTGTCTTATCGATTTTTGCCTACACGGATCTAGAAAAAATCCAAAAACTTTTCAGTTTTTTCTACAGTAATTGAAGCTATATGCATTTTGTTAAATCGATGCCAATTTGCATTCCCTCTATTTTCCCCATCTCTCGATTCAAATTCCAGAGAGCTATCCCCACCCCCGGGGGGCTTTGTTACACCCATTCTCCCCCCTCTTTTTTCGCAGTGGTACCATTTCCCAGGGATGGGAAAGGTCACCCCGACTACCACACCAAAAGGCACCCTTTCCCACGGAAAAACTGTTTTTTTTTAGGATTTACAGGGGTCTGGAGAATTAGGAATGAGCATGGGAATCAGCCTGGTGGGCCTAAGTCTAAGCTTAAGCCTAAGCCCAAGCCTAGGTTAAGCCTAAACCTAACTGAGCCTAAACCTACCTGAGCATGAGCTCAATCTCAAGCTCATCCACAAGTTCCTGAAACTTCCAGCTCCCTTGAGAATTCCCAAAAAAATCTATTTTTTTTGCCCCACCCCGATCCCGACAGCTGGTTGGCCCCCCGAGCTCGTCGAGATCGTTGCGCCATCTGGGCCCTCGTTTTGGCCCCCTTTAGTCCATCTTTTAAGGCCGAGTATGTCGCTCTCTCTCTCTCCCTCTCTCTCTCTCTCTCTCTCTCTCTCTCGCTCTCTCTCTCACTCTCATACTCGACCTCCCCTAGGGTTAGAAGGGTTCGGATCTTTCGGGATAATGGCATATTTGCGGGTGTCAGCCCCGGGGGGTCAGTACAGCCAAGGTCGCACCCTTCACCCCTAGGTTAATCCCGTGCCCCAAATTTGGGGGTGGCTAGCGGGGGTTTTTTGGGAAATTTGGGGTTGATTAGCTAAGGCCATAAGGACAAAATGATCTTCTAGCCAACCCTTTCCTAAAGAATCTCTGCTAGCTTGCCCTTTCCTTAAGAATCTCGGCTAGGGCGCCCATCCGAAATAATCTCTGCTAGCTGCCATTTCCTAAAAAATGTCTGCTAGCCCCGTTGATTTACCTCCTTTTCGGCTTGTTTTCAAACCCTCAAAGCCTGAACTTTCCTCCAAAACCTTTGCTCGACGCCTGCCCCCTCGTCGGTGCCATTTCCGCTTTTACCCTCTCCTTTTCGGCGCCTTTAAACGACCGGAACGAACCCCTTGATGACTGATTCCCATTTCAGAGGCCGCTCCTCCTCGCCCTCCTCCCACACGATGACACTGCACACCCCGACAGCGGCCAGCAAACGGTTGCCCGTTCGTCGATGCCTTTTTGGGAGGCCGGATCCGGTTGAGGTGAGTGGGACACAAAGCATTAATCGATAGGCTTAGGCTTAGGCTTAGACTTAGGCTTAGGCTTGGGCTTAGGCTTGGGTTAAGGCTTAGGCTTAGGCTTAGGCTTAATGAGGAACATAAAAATTTTGCTACCCCTTTAAACCCACTATTTTCAGACGCAAGCCTGGCTGACAAGTCAGCTCGACGAGATCCGCCGCGAGAAGGAGGCCAAGTGGGCGTTCGACTTTGAGCACGAGGTCTCGCTCCCCACCGCCTCCACGTCCGATTACGAATTCATCCCGGTTGAATCGATGAGCGTGCCCAGCTTCTATAGACTGAAGGTCAGGCTTGAGTCTATTCAAATTTTTCGACGTCTTTGACCCCCGGAAAATCGACTTTTGGAAGTGTTCCAAGTCGAATCCCAGGTGTCACTATCCCTTTAAACCAAGCTAAACTCAATTGCGACCTCAGCTACGCGAGACACCAATTTACATCCCGATTTCCAGGTCATCATGCCGACAGCCAAGCGCCTGCCCAACTCTACCGGCACCTCCCCCGCCGAATCCGAGGACTCTGACTGCTCCTTCATGGACACGTCGGACGACTCGTCGATGATCGCCTCCCCCTCGCCCACCAAACGAGGCCACAACACCCCGAAACGGCCCCGGAAACTGGACTCGAGAGCCCAGCGCAAGCTGACAAGTGAGTTTTTCGAGCGTTATCGGGTGCACAATGGCATTTTGATAAATTTTTGGGGTTTCGAAAAGTGCCAAAAATCTAGAAAAAGGCTACCGTAGGCTCTGATTTTTGTTAAAGCTAAATATGGCGTCTAAGGCTTTAAATTCTTGGAAAACAGCTTTTCTCGTTCTTCAAAGCGCACCGGATATCGAAAAAGATATTTTTTTAGCTTTTTAAAGGGGCTGGGACACCTCAAAAAACCCACATTTTAGGTATCTATGAACTTTGTGGGATTTTTAAAATAGTTTTTGAGAAGTTTTTAAGGCTTTAAAGAGACGGGGAAACCTTGAAAAAGCTTGAAAATGACCCTAACGAGCTCGAAAATTGACTTATGTAATTTTAAAGGGACCGTAAACTATGAAAACATAAAAACCCCTTAATAAACCCACCTAACCCTCTCCTTTCCAGATTACATGCACCCGAAGAAACGCCTCAGCCACTCGTCGAAAAAGTCGGATCGCTCGGTGCCGGATTCTAGTCCCGCCTCGTCCTCCTCGGTGCGCTCCAACTAGGCCCCAGCCAAAACTCCAAACCACCACAATTGCCAAAGATTGGAGAGGAGCTGCCCGAGGAGCACGAGCTCACCCTGATTCTCCAGAATTTGCTAGTCGACTGAAACGGGCTTGGGGAGACTTGATGGGCTTTTGATCGTTTCAAGGAGGGGAATTCCGCAAAACTGTTTACGTTGTGATTCGAAGCCTTTAAAAATGGAAAATTGGATTTTAGCGTTTTAAGCCCAAAATTCCGCGTGGGTACTCAGTACGCATGATTTCTGAGGCACACGCGGCTCTTTAAAACGCTAAAAATCCGCTTTTGACGTTTTTAAGTGAAAATTCCGTTGCGATACTCTGTACGGCAAATTCTCGAGCCTTACGTGGCCCTTTAAGGCCTCGAAAATATCGATTTTCTCGCTTTCAAGGGACAGAAATTTCAGAACACTTTTTTTTGACACTTGCCGGTCCCTGTAAAACCCAAAAACTTTCGATTTATCCGTCGTAATTGATCAAAAACCCATCTCTCCCCCTGGCCCTCCCCCAAAATCACCCCTGTGATATCGTTCCCATCCCCCATTTAATATACTTATTCGAAATTTTCCAACATTCCCGACCACACCCTGTTGACGCCGTGAGACTGCCCGAATCCGCGCGAGTACCCTGAACACCGGGGCCCTCCTAAAAACGCACTGGATTTCGCTCAATCCCACGGCGCCCCCCAAATCGATTCAGTCCATTGATTAACCATATATTTTTATGATTGTCTTGGCCTTTAAAATGATGTTAAAATGCAGATGCAATGTGCAGCAATATTTCCACTTGTTTTTATTACTTTTGGTTTTATGGATAAATTCTATGAATTATTTGAGCGACCGGAATTATTCGCAGATCATGACAAAAACGCAAAAATTAAAATATTCAATTTTAAGGCGGCATGAATGGCATTACCCTTCATTTCGCATTCCTAATCGCTGGAAAACGAGACTGTCAGCATGCACAATAACGCCAGAATCATAATTTCTATTCAAACCCCTTCGAATGCATCCTCTGGAGCCCGCACCCCGACCCTGTTGTGCACGTTCTTTTGTGCATAGGTTTTTGTGTGGCCCGGGGGGTGGTCTCGCCGTCCGTTCGATTGGAATAGGGGTCAGTGTCGGCCAAAAAACGATTCACAATCCCCCCTTGGCTCCGTCCCGGGAATGGACGACGCATAATTCGTGGAGGACGAAGGACGACTCGGGACACCGGGGACTGGCACCATTTATTGGAGAGAGAGAGAGAGAGAAAGAGAGAGAAAGAGAGAGACCACTCCCGACCACCACCACAGTCATCATTCAACTTCCACCCAATCCCCAACCCACCAGATTGACAGTTGGCTAATGAAAAGTCAGAAAAACGGGCGGTGACAAATCGGCTTCCCAAGGGCTGTCGCACCTAGGGACAGATTTATTAAACGGGAAGATTTATCCTGCAGTTTTGCGGCTGCTACAACCCTGGGAGAACCGAATTTTTAGCAGGAGTTTGGACCTGCTCAGGTTTAAGCTCAGGTTTAGGCTTGGCCTTGCTCGATTCCCAGGTAAACAGATAGCCCTGAACCCCCTAAACATTTTTCACACACAAAATTAGCCCCGAGCCCATAACGTGAGCAGTCTCCCAAGCTCGGCCACCTCTCGAACGGACACGAAAATTATATGCGTCCCCTCCGGGCTCTCTCTCGCTCGCGCTCTCTCTCTCTCTCTCTCTCTCTCTCTCTCTCTCTATCTCTCTCGCTCTCTCCGGATGATTTGCATAACACGAAGGGGCTCATTTTCGCCCTCCTCGCCTCGATGCCGGCGTGGGAATTCTCGGCATTCCGGGACGGCAATTTGAATTTGTTCCCAGGTGCCATGATCAGAATGGTGCGCGCTGATCGGGCTCCACGTGAAGATTGCTCTCTGAAGTAAATGCTATCACCAATCGTCGGTGGAATCTCGGCAGCCAAATTCCGTGGATAAAACCGAAAATGGAATCACTGTCTCCTCAATCGGGCGGCGGTCAAGTTTCGGAGCTGTTCTAGCTACCGCAACGCGTCCGCCACGCTTTGACGTGGCTAGTACGACGTGCTGAAATCCTTTATATTTTGTCTACAGTCATCATCTTCTGCAGTAATTTAGCTTGAAGGCGTGGCGCTCGAGAAAGCAAGGCATGCAACGCGTCAGCATTGCCGCGGGTTACGGTAGTCAGTTCAAAAATGTGCCCAAATAAATATTTACCAAAAACCAGAAAAACCGGGTACAAGCAAAACATGTTTACCAGGCTAACCGCCCAATATTCCTGACTTTCTTTGCCTTACCAGTCCCGCGTTTACCTATCAGCTTTGCATAAAGAGACTGCCCCGGGTTATCACCACCTCCTCTCCCCCCTTTGGGCCCTTGTGTCCAGAGGATTTTCGCGTACACAAAGCCCCCCGGTCGCTATCAGCAATTTGGGAGAGGAGGACGTGGCGCTATGAGTATGTATGCATGGGCGCATATCGCGTATCACGCTTTCGACAAAGCCCCCCGGCTCGGTCCAAAGTTATTTCCACACACTTTCGGGCCCTGATCCCGAGACCCGGGCAGACAAAGGGCCTTATCAGCTAATTTGGGCGAGCTGTAATATGCTAATGCGCCATCGTGGGGGTGCCTGTGTCATGCCAGTCAGACAGGTGAAAACCTGAACCCCGGGAATTGCCCAAATCTGCCTAAGACAAAGGGTAAGGTTTGAAAAATTGAGTCAAGCGGGTGACAAAATCTGAAGAGACGGCCAATCGCGAAATTTGAATTTTAAAGGGACCTGGAAGGCAAGGGTGGCTGAAAAAATTGCTAAGAAATCAATAGGTATGCAGAGATCATTGGTTGAATTCCAAAAAAATATGTCCATGAATCTCTGCCAGCCTGCCAGACCATTCAGGGGCATGTGCCAGTTTGCGACAATCGACCCAACTTTCCCAAAGAATCCCTGCTAGCCTGCCTCGCACTCGTCACCCTCCTTCCTAAAACATATCTGCTAGCCTGCTTTCAGAAAATCTCGCTACGGCTCTTCCCCCTCCATTGTCGTCCCAAAAGTCCTTTGCTAACCACCCCACATGTGTCATTTGACCCGGTACCCCAGTCGAATGTCAGAAGTCGTATCCCGTAGCTGCTCACCGGCTTGCCCCAGATGTCAAGAGCAGTTAGGCTACAGCCCCTGAAATGCCACATATGCTTTTTGTACCCTTTTGGGGGGGTGTACAGAGTAGTGGTTCGGAATGCAGGGGTATGACTGGTCATGTTGCCAGCTCATCCCCCACCACCCGGTGCCCCCTCCTGACCCCTGGGCCCTTTTGTACCCCGGAGGGCACACTTGAACCCCTGCTGTGAAGAGGAGAGAGAGAGAGAAAGAGAGAGAGCGAGAGAGCGAGAGAGAGAGAGAGAGAGAGAGAGAGAGAGAGAGAAGGGCCATCCACACCACCATTTCTATTATAAGGGCTGGCACGCAAGTCGAGGGGACCGGGTCAGCAGGGTATTGGCATGTTTTGTGCACATTTGGGGATGTGAAAGGTATCGATAAATTTCCTAAGAAAGCTCTGCTAGTCTGCATCGCACTAACAAAATTTCCGCAAGAATCTCTGCTAGCCCGCTCAACTTGCAGAATTTTCTAAAGAATCCCTTCTAGCCTGCCGTGAGCTTGCAAAACTTTCGAAAGAATCCCTGCTAGGCGGCTATCGCCTCCAGGTGCCTTTAAAACAACCCAGAAAATACCGCGTACCCTGTCTTCCGGGGCCAGGTGCATTTGAAGTGCGTGTAAGTGTGTATTCCCCCGGAACCGGGCAGACGTTTCGACCATTCGAAAAATCGTGCTTTTTACAGGGGTTGGTGGTTGACCCGGCAGATTTCCGGTCCCTGGAATTAGTCGTCTGCCAGTTGACTGTATCTCTCTCTCTCTCTCTCTCTCTCTCTCTCGCCCCTCTGTCACTCCACAAGCAACCAATTTGACAGATGTCCGGACAGTCAGGAGGAAATGGACACTCACACCCCCACAGAGCAGCCCATCTCAGCCCATCCCCAACAATTAGTGCCATTTAGGGAATAGGGCTCGGGGGAGGGGATTGTATATTGCGGTAAGTGCCGTTCGAGGGCTATTCAGATGGCTCTAGAATGGCAATAGAGTCCCCCAATTGACCCATTAAGCCTCTCGGATTCGAGATGGTCATTATGGCATCAGGTTGGTCTCGATTGGCCAGTGGAGTGTGTCGGATTGATGAATGCGTTGGGGACTACGCGTGAATGCAATTGACTAGGGGTTTGTGAGTATTTCTAGTGTTCTATGATTCAGGATGGCTAGTAAAGGCTCTTTGAAATGAGAAAGATCTAGGGGTTTTTCAACTAAGGACGCCTCGGAATCCGACCTTACCATGACTTCACAGTCCCTTTAACGGCTCTGATCCCTTACTAAACCATCAAACCCCCCATGTTTTTATCCTCCAACTATCCATGGGCCGATCCGGGTTGCAAAAAAAAAGATGCGAAATCCGGTGGAAACGTGGATACGGTCGAATGGTTCTGAATGGTCGGTCAGGGCTGGGTTTTTGTGACTTCTCGCCACATTCCCCCATTCTAGAGGGCTCCACAAGGCTAACCATAGAGGGTATAGTCAAGGAGAGGGCATTGGGATATCCGGGTGGAAGTGGGGGAGTCCTGCCTGGAATTTTCCTGCCGAGGTAAGGGCTACAAGCTCAGAGCGTACTGCGTTGCGTAACGTACCGCATGAGGTAGCAAAGCTTACTGGCATAGATAGGTGCGTCGAGGAGTCGAATTTAGCTGTTCCAGTTCCTTTAAACGTGCGTACTTTGTAGCCATGCGTACTAGTATGCGCTTTGTTCAAAACTTAAAGGTAATCATAAGCTTTTAGAAGGCTAGAAAAACTTGTAAGGAGTCGACTTTACCTTCCCGGCTCCTTTAATCTCAAGCAGCCAGCTGCGCGGGGTAAATTATGCATGCAACGCGACCCGAGGGATGGGACCCAATAGAACTGTCAACAATAGATCTACCCCCAACGCGCTGTTCTTTTTAGTTCGTGTGTGGGCCCATCGCTCTCTCTCTCTCTCTCTCTCTCTCTCTCTCTCTCTCCCGTTCTCTCGCTCGCTTTGGCCGCAGTGAGGGCCCAGGTGACCGGGTCACATCAGTCAAGTCGAATCAAAGGGGGCGGCCCGCATCAAGGGGGATAGTAACAGTCAATTAGCATCTACGGGCTGGAGGAGGAGGGAGAGGGAGAGTTCTGTTAGGACCCAGGAGTCCAAGGGGACACGACAAAAAGGGCGCGGTAGAGGCAAGTAGATTTGCTTTAGGCTTCGTCATCGGCTTAGGCTTGGCTTAGGCCAAGGCTTAGGCTTAGGCTTAGGCTTCGTTTCGGCTTTGCTTCGGCTTAGGCTCAGGCTTAGGCTTGCGCTTAGGTTTCAAAATAGTGCTTCAGCAAACTTCCAATCCGCTAGATACTGTAGGCCGTTGTAGCATCTACGACCACCTCTCGATACCCTTTAAACGAAGCCCATTAGCATCCCAATAAACTGTAGTTCGAGTTTCAAAGCCGCTCCTCCCGCCTTTGTTTATACCCATAAGCACCCCATAAGCCTACAAAGAAGCGGCCGGCTTTTTCGGCAACTCAATTATCCGCGTCCCTCCTCCGCCATTCCTTTACAGTCCCTTCGGTCAGGGGCAGCTGAGCCATATGCAAATCTAATAAGGAGTAGAGAGAGACAGAGAGAGAGAAAGAGAGAGAGAGAGAGAGAGAGAGAGAGGGAGAGTAAGACTTATGTGGTGCCTCCCATTGTTTACAAAGGTCGCGGCGGGTGGAATTAGGGCCCAGGCAGAGGTCAGCGCCTCATTTGCATATATGCGCCCGGGTGGTGGGGCTTTGGCCCCGGGAACTGTGCCGACTTTTTTGAGGAAGCCGACTTTTGTGAGGGGATTAGGGCAATGGAAATTTGGGCTTAAAGGGACCAGGAAGGCAAAACCAAAAATTGTTATTTCGGAATTGTGGCAATTACTCTCGCTCTCTCCTTCTCTTTCTTGTTGTCGCTCTCTCTTGCTTTCGCTCTCTCGCTTTCGCTCTCTCGCTCTCGCTCTCTCACTCGCTCTCTCTCTCTCGCGCGCTCTCTCTCTCTTTCGATAGTTTCCTGCCTTCCCAGCCCCTTTAGGCTCTTCTTGGCTACGTGCCATTCCAGTACAGTAGCCAGTGAAAGGACCATCTGGCGGGGGAAACCAGTTCGCGAAACACTACTCACTACTTTCGCTCCCTTTTTTGGGCCAAAGACAAGGCGTAGATCGGATCGCTTCAATCAAGTGGCAACCGGAAAACAGCTCTCTACAGTACGAGGGAAAGACAGAGAGAGAGAGAGAGAGAGAGAGAGAGCGGGAGAGATAGAGAGTGCAACCTTAACCCCCTGAAAAAACGCGCGAAATCCACCTCCTCCTCCTCCTCCACCTCGCCCTCCCCCCGGCCGCAACAACAATGAAACATCGGCCCTTTGAGTGAGAGCCAGCGAAAACAAGTATCGCCTCGGAATGGCAGCAGCCGAAAAAGAGGGGGGAAAGTGAGCGGGTGAGGGGGCAGGAAATGCGGGAAAATGGCGCCAAAAACGGTGCCAAACGCCCCGGTTGGCAACCGGCCAAGTGAACTCGAGGCTCGTGCCTGAAACATTGAAATGTTGGAGAGCGGGTTGGCGTGGCGCCAGCGATTTTTGAGAAGTTGGGGACTCGAAAAAAAAGTAAAAATTTGTCCCGGATTACTGTAGATCACAAAAACCATCCCCCATTTTGGCGGAAAACTGAATTTGCGAACATTAATCATAATTAATCACAATTAATCATAATTAATCATAATTAATCACAGCCCTTATAAGTTTGATTGAAAAGTTTAAGGAGGTGGGCGGCAGGAAAAAAAAATGCAATTTTGTCTCGTATTACTGTATTTCGTGAGAGCCGTACGTTTTAAAACTCGAAACCGTTTTTCCACGTCTGGGCTACTGTAATTCTGAATTTCAGGTGCAATTTAGGCCTGACGAAAGGTTTTAAAACGTTGGGGAAAAGCGAAAAATACAATTCTCGCGCCCGGGTTACGGTAGAAGGGAGAAAATTCAGAACTTTACACTGAAAGCAGCGTTTTCAAGCATTGCCGATTCAAAATTCGACATCCTCGTGGGATTTTAGGTCTTGAAAGTGGGTAAATAAGAAAAATTTAAGCTGCTGTAGGCCGCCAACTCTTTGTGAAATTTAGCGTGGCTTGGGGGTACTGTAAAACTGCTAAAAATTGTACTAAAATTCAAGCAATTACAGTAATCTCAGTATGGACAAATACCGTTTACCGTAATCGTTTAACCTTGTAGCAATATCAGAAGTACGATACGATACGACTACGGTAAACAACGGGTGTAAAAACCCGTAACAATACGGACCATTTTGATATTTGTGAAAACCAAGAACTTAGTGTAATGTTCTCTTTCGTCCAAGATTCTCTCCATCTTTTAGAAAACAGCACCCTTCCAAAATGCCTTTTCGCCCGCGAAGATGGTCAATTTTTAGCGCACCTGTCACGCCTTGCCTCCGGCTATGTCTGGTGCATTCTACCAAAAACATGTCGCAGTCACGCCTTTTTCGAAAACATGGGAACATTTCGGTACTTCTGCATACTGTAAACCGGCAAACCGCCACATTTTAGCGTTCCGCACTTTCCGTACCGAACGGCCGGGGTCCGTTTGCTATTGCGTGCCCCGGGACTGGGCTGCGGCGTGCAGCGCGCTTTCAAACGTGGGAACGAAGCCAACCGGCTGAGTTCGTGTTTTTACGAGTGCGAACTTTCGTGGGAGCCTTTTAGAAAGCAGTAAAGCTAGTTTTTGAGTTTTAGAAACGTTTAGAAGTTTTAGAACTGAAAAGCGCTTTCGAAACTCCGCCTAATGTTATAGATTTTCCTTTCGAAATGCTATGATTCTTGTATTAATGAATTTTTACAGTATTTACGTCGATTTCTCTTAGTTTAACACCTTTTATACTTTCCTTTATTCATTCTACCCTCTTTTTATTATCTTTTACGTCTTCTAGGGTTTGAATTTCGCAATGTTATAGTTTGGTTTCTAAATATCCGAACCTTTACGTGTTTTTGCGCTACGTTTTGATCTTTTATTACTTTCTTCCCTTTACTACGACCCTTACTTTCTTCATTTTCTATTTTTAGACAGATGGATCAGAACCGTCCGCCTCCGCGTCTTCGGCCACTGACTCGGAAGTAAGTTTCAAATTTTTTACCTGTTTTTTTTCTGAACATTTTTTGTTAATCTTGCTTTATCTGAATATTTCCAGGTGCCTCTTCGGTCGTCCGGATCCCGAGGAGACGCGCAAATATCTGGAAGACGCGCTGGCGGAAATCCACCAGGAGCACGCCAAGCGACTGGCCGAAAAGTATGGCGACTGGGAGCCCGTCGTGGCCAAAGAGGTTTGTAGTTTTCGTTTATGTTGATGATTTGTGTTTAGGTCCCCACCTTTTACAAGAAAGTCCGTGGCCAGCACCGCTACCGGGACGACGACGGCACGGAGCCGCTTTTTGCACAGGTTTTTAATTAGATTTGTCGAGTATCGCCTTTTTCAGCACGCTCCCTCCCTTTCGCCGAAGAAACCGGAAGGCTCGCGGGCTGCTCAGGCTGTTGTTGAGGTATTAAGGCATGTAAAAAATATCTAGTTTTAGGCACATGATCAAAATTCGAATCCGGCCCGCCCGTCCACCTCGCTGCCGTCGCCGGCCAAAAAGTCGAAGATGGATCATCAGCCAGTGGCCGTGCCAAGTTTCCCTGGACCCTCTAGGTATAGAATTTCTCGGTTTAAAAAAACTTTTGATTTAGGTCGTTGACCCGCAGCTTCTCGGCGGCGCTGAGGGTGAGCGCCCCGGATGTTTCGATGAATGGCGACGGCGATTCGGGCTCTCAAAAAAGCGCCAAAACCAAGTCGAAGGAGAAGAAGCTGCTGCAGCCTTGCCTTACTAGTGAGTATATTCTTTTACGTTTTGGAATTACGTCTTTCAAACTCGTCAATTTGATTTTCGGCCTCTAACTACTCTTATGTTAGTGACTCCTTTCCAGCTCCATTTTCCTTGAAACATTGTTTTTCTGGAGCGCCCATCGAATCCGATATTCCAGTTTTTTCGTGTAGGGTTCCCGTCCTTCAACCGTTCTTTCCCCAGCGTCTACCCTGTCTTTCTCCTCTTTTCAGCCCAACGGCGCTCGCTAAGGGCTCTTTGTCTAGCGATGGTATAGGGGGGAAGGGCAAAGGGGTCCGGGCGCTTGCCTTCAAATACCATTTGAAGCCCCGGGGACTGGGGGCAGATTTTATGCGAGGGTGTGAAAAACGAAATTTTAAGTATCTAGTTACTGGTAATTTCCTGGAAATTCAATTTTCCTGAAATTACGCGGCCTAAAACTCGTTTCTTTTCAAATTAATTTTTCACCAGAATGGATTAATTTTCAAAAAGACGTGATTCTTAGGTTTAGGCTGAGCTTTCGGGACGGCGGAAGACCAATGTCAGCGTGTTTTTAGAAAATTTTGCGACATGCGGGGCAAAAAGTATCTAACAAGAAAATAAGAAAAATTACGTTTAGGAAAACGATTTTCAGGAATTTTTGGAGAAATGGATTTAACAAAAATTAATACAAATCTCCAATCTCTCCCTTTCCAGATTACCTCATCACCCAGCGGCGCTCAACCCCGCGCAAGAAGAACGAAAAGCCGAACGATGGCCCGAAGCGCATGGACGTTGCGGACTCCCCGGCCAGCCCGCTGAGGTATCCTGCCATCGATCTTCTTTCATTAATGCCCCCTCAGATTTGTCGACGAGCAGACGAACAAGACGATAACGCGCCCGGCCACTCGCACGCTCGGCGTTACCAAGCCCGCTCAGGGCAGTCCTCGCAAGGGTGAGTTGGCTTAGCGGTTAGTGCTCGGGGCCCCCACCCACAGGACCCCGGTTCGACCCTCGCCCGCGGCGCATCGATGATGAAATAGTGTCATGCTAATCATGAACTGGACATCGGGTCCTCCCCTCCATGTTGTAGAAAGACCTTTCTGAGATGTGCTTTTGGCGCTGGGCTTTTAATCGTGTTTTTTATTAATTTGTACTTCCGGTTTGTCGGGTTGCGGCCACCAAAGTTTCCTTTTTAAGGCTCGCTTTGCATGCATTTTGCATTTAGTCTATTTCAATAGTGTATTAATATTTTCCGATATTTTAAAATTAGAAACATTTAGAGACGATTTTCAAAATAGTTTTTTTACTCCGTTTGGGCCACTTCGATTCATTTTCGATCAAAATTTATTAAATTTCTGGTTCAAAAACGGCGTCGATTTCGAGCATAGGGGCTTGACAGTTAAAAATAGGCGACCGCACCCTGATAAACTTGACGCACAAATTTTTTTGAACATTTGTTACACGACTTCAAATGTTTTTTTTTCAGGCCTTTCCAAGAGCGCCTCGATGCCCCGCGTCGCGCGCACCCGGACCGGCAAATCGGCCACCGCTTCGAACGAGGATTAGGGTCAGTTGCTTTCGATTTCCGCTCTAGGACCCCGGGGCAATAAACCACCCGCACGATGGGCCTTTGTATGGGCCGTGGCGTGGTGCGGCTTCGCAATCTGTCAGCGGGACTGTCGCCCGAAATTAGGCCACTTGCCACCACCCGCTCTGCCTTTTTGAGGCACGACAGGGCGAGGGAGGGCGATACATTAAGATGAAGGCGAGGATCATGGGGCGATGTGTCGCATTTTCGCGGCGGAGGGGGGGCAGATCAACCTTTTTCTAGCCGCCCGAGGACCGGGGCCTAATTGATGATGCCCTATTCGATTCAGCCCATTCATTCGTCATCCCCGCGGTCCTGAGGAGGGGTGTTGATCTTGTAATTTGGAAATTTGGGTAGGGATGGGCCCAGTCGAATTTTCATCTGAAGCCGGGCTGTAAAGCGCCCAAATTTGCCCAATCAACTTGGTTTCGACAGCTCGATCAGCTAAATAATCTTCAAGAAGCGCGTAACTCGCAAATACCAAGTCGCTTTAAAACCCGAACGAAGGATATTTACCTTTTTTGGAGGACTTTTTTACAAAATAGAATTTTGAAGGCGTTCGTACATACAAGGTTCTAAGCATTTTTACTAGATGTCGACGAACGCCGAAAAACACATGCTTCACGATAAAATTGACCTCAATTTCTGATTCTGGCGTTTGGTGGATCTTTTAAAGCGATTTTGGCTACCGAAAAAACGTGAAGGTCTCAAAGCCCGTGGCTTCTAAACCGCCCGGCCTTTCCACCTCTCAATACACCCTTTGAAGTTTGACAAATCCCCCCTCCCCACAGCGCAAGACCTTGACTTTCCTCCCAGGGGGAGCAGCGTGAAATTACTGGTCTCACTGTGGTGGGGGCCTTGCCTTGGGATAGGTATAGGATTGGAAAGCGCGACGGCAAGCACAAAAGAAAAACGGCAAAACCGCAATTCCAATTATAACTTGCGCTTTTTGCGGCCTTGTCCCCGTTCAAACACACGGCATCGAGGGTCACCTGGATTGTCGTTAAACATGTAACGCGCTGCGCAACACAGCATGATCATAACGTTGTGAAGTGACTGACTATAGCCCGTTTATAGCTACTCATTACGCGGCTTCTTATCTGTGTGCAGATCATTTCCTGACCTTCAGCGCGCATTGTATCAGTTTTTCGAGCGGGGAACGGGCGCCCGTTTTGGTAGAGGGTCGGCGCGCGTTGCGCAACACGGCGCTCCCTGCCCGGCTCCGGTAGAAGACGATCGTGGTGATAGCGCGTTTGAATTGTGGCTGGGGGTGATAGGGGCAGGCTAGGGAGGGTTGGAGAGAAAAGGGGTTCGATTTTAAAGGGACATTGAAGTTAGAATACGCTTTGGAATTCAGCTCTGATGAAGCCGTCCATTTCATTTCGTTTTTTTTTGTCGAAAAATAGCGCATGTAAGCCAAGTTTTGATTTTTGGTAATCTGCGCATTAACGATTGTAGGTTTCCCCACCAGGTTTTTGGTGTTTTTTCCGGGGCATAGTAAATGCATTAGGTGCCAATTACCTGTCGCGATGCCTTTAAAATTTGTTTCGTCGCTTTGAAAGGCGAGAAACGACATTTTTTGATCGATCCAGATTTTGAATTTTGACAAGACCTTAGCACCGGATTTGTAGCGTTTTTTTGCGGGGACTTCCAGTGCTTTAGCCGTGAATCTTCGTGTCGCCATCCCTTGAAAATTCATTTTTTGGCCCTCCACCTTGAATCGATAACTTTTTTCCAGGCTTCACCATCTACCTCAACCGGCCGCTCATCGTCAAACACTCTGTGAAGAAACTAATTATTGACCTCCCCCGGCTTCTCTCCCTCGCTTGACGTCTACTTCGTGTTGCTCGTGCTTTTCCTCGTGCTAGTTGCCTCTACCTCACCACCCTGCCCCTCCCAACATGCCCAGACATTTGTTTCGTATCGTATCGAGGCCCGGTATTGTTGTTTTTTCATCACCCGCTTCCTTCAAAATTCCCCCGGCTTTAACCCGACTTCCCCGATCCGTTAAAAAATTTATTTCTGCTCAGGAGCCCTGCCCTGCATTTAGCCCCGCTGTTTTTGGGTTCTGGGCTCTTAGCGAGGGGGTAGGTGAGGCTTTGGCCTATCAGCAGTTTCCCCCCGCGCTAAGGGTGCAGTCCCGGCTTTTTGTATCCCCCTGTTCTGTTGATTTTTGTGTGAATGTGTCTTGTCGCTTATTCTATTCCGAATTCCGTCTAATCAGTGACCCACCCCAAAAAATGTGATCCCGACCGTCTCGCGTCGTCGTCGTCGTAGTCGCCCAGAATCAACCTCCCCCATGTGCACTCCCAGCCGCCTGTATTTTTTCTTCGAATAGTCGCCTAGTGTGAAGCTCGATAAACAATTTGTGCTAAAAAATAACCGCGGGGAATTCGATTCTGGCTACTGTATTGCCTTGGAAATCTTGAGATCTAGGCATGTAATTTTTCTGGATCAAAAAGTCGATGGAATCCAGCCTTAACTTGAATGCTTTATTCAAATATCCTCAACCAGCCGTCGTCTCGAGGCTACCGGCCAAGTAATTGGTGCATACAGGAGTAAATTGTATAAGCTTGTGTATGTTATTGAATCGGGCGTCTATATTTCGCTGCGTGGTCGCGTCCGGTTCTCGCGACGTCTTCTAAGAATCCTCCATCGACGACGACGACCGGTCAAACACCTCCACCTTGACGTTGCTGGTGCGGCTGGACCGGCGCAGATGGACGTTCGTCCTAAATAATAATGGGGTATTGGTAGGTATAATACTACATTTAAGGCGGTATATTTGCTTATGTATAATACGCCTAAAACTCACGAGTAGTACTTGACAAGCGTGTTGATCGACGGGAACAGCTGCGTGGGCTGGCCGCTCGCGCGTCGCTTCGACTCGACGTAGTACATCTTCTGGCCATGCCCCTCGCTCGACGGCACCCAGAGCGACATCACGCGGTAGTGGCTGAACAAGGGAAGCTTTTTGGAGGTGTTCGGTCACAGCTCTTTTTCAAGACGTTCAGAATTTCGACGTGCTGCTTTCTTAAAACGCACCTATACTTTCCGCCCTCCTGTTTGTAGACGACATAGAGGTTGAGCGTGTCCTCGACGGAGCCGCCGCGCTCCAGGGCCCGGTGGTAGAGGCGGAAGGCGGTGGCACCCTTCACCGTCGCCTCGGCCCCCTCCTTCGTCATGACGCCGACGTAGAACGTCTCGCCGAGCGGCGCGTTCGCGCTGTTCCTGGAAATTTATCAAATTTTTAGACTTTTTAAATGTTTTATTTTTTTCTAAGGAGAGTGTCGGCTAGTTGAACGCTTTCAACTTGCGTTCGCGCTTCCTTTTCTGGCAAAATTTTGGGGTCAAGAGGCAATTTGATCTCTATAAAGGCTAGTCCATTGAAGACTAGTCCATAGTCGCGACTTGAAGGCAAACCAGCAGCAATCTTTGAGGAAAATGCTTCGCAATCGTTACCCCTTCTTCAGCACGAACTTGGGATGTGGCCCGGGATCTGTGGAGAGCTCGCTGGAAGGAGTAAGTTAGGCTTGGCTTAGGCTTCTTCTTAGCTTTGGCTTAGGTTTAGGCTTAGGCTTAGGCTTCGGCTTCGGCTTCGGCTTCGGCTTCGGCTTAGGCTTAGGCTTACATGATGTAGTTGGGCTCGATCTGCTGCGTGCGCGGCACCTCGAAGCGCGACGAGTCATCGTCGCTCTTCTGCGGCTCCTGAAAAATCCCAGATTTTTTTGACTCCACTGGTCCTTTCAGGCCATTTTTAAGCTACCTCCACATGGTCCTTGGGCGTCGAGGCTTGTCGCGGCGGTCCCATGTGACGCCTCAGCTGCTCGGGCGTCTGGTGCGGCGCGGTCTGACGAATGGAAATGCAACGGGAGAGAGAGAGAGAGAGAGAGAGAGAGAGAGAGAGAGAGAAAGAGGGGGGAGAGAGAGATAGAGAGAAACAGCTAGTGAGAGAACCACGCACCTCGCTCCAGAATTTGTGGCTGGCCGCCGAGGAGTTGGCTCTGTCGTGGCTGAAAATTTGCATAAATTGTTTGTGTCTCAGCAACTTACTATCTCATCGCCGAGTAGCCGCCGGTGGCCGCGCGGGTAAAATTCGGTTGTAGTCATTTGGGCGGAACTTTGTCGATTTTTGGGAAGCCGGATATGTGAATTTCGGAATGTCCAGTTTTATGCAAATTTCGGTTAAATTATTTCCGACCTCTCTCTCTCTCTCTCTCTCTCTCTCTCTCCCACTTTCTCTCCCGCTTTCTCTCTCTCTCTCTTTCGCTCGTCCCGAAAAAGTGGCGCGCGCCCGACAGCTCCATAGCAACCAGGGCACTCGCGACGGGAAGCGATCTCAAACCCCAAATTGGCTTAAAACCTGGCCAAACATTTTCTGCTACCATTTTATTTTAACTTATTTGTTATTTTGACATTGAAATTTTGTAGATTTATTACAAACTTTTGAACAATTATGGCCGACGAGGAAGAAGCTGAAGAAGTTCCGATCGGCGAGCTGGCCGAGGGGCCCGGGAAGGAATTTGAGATATATTTAAAGGTACGATCTGCGAGGGCGAGAGAAAGAGAGCGGGAGAAAGACAGAGAGAGATAAAGAGGAATTTTTTCAGAGCGAAGACATGGTGGAAAAACTGAAGCTGCTGAACTACGAGGAAGGCTTCTTGGTGCTGAACAAAGCTTATAGACCCATTCAGAGGTCGTTAACTGTTTTTTAAACTATCTAATTTGTTTTAAGGCATTACTTTGTGAAATCGACAAACATCGGCGAGCAGTTCTTTCTTTTCACCTCATTAGCATCTTGGTTGATCCGGAAGTGCGGGAATGAAGGTTTCGAGATGCCGCAAGAGGTGCGAGCGCTTGACAGAGAGAGAGAGAGAGAGAGAGAGAGAGAGAGAGAGAGAGAGAGAGAAAGAGCGATAAAGCCATAATATGGATTATTTTAGTTCGACGACCCGAACAGCACCATCACAAACATTGTCAGCGAGGTCAGGAGCAAGGTGGGTACTTTTCAAGGTATCGAAAAGCCTCCCGCTGCGTTCATAGAGCCTGGGAATATCTTTTCTCGCCATAAATGTCCCTTGAAAAGTTGATACCTACAGTTTTAGGGCATCCAAGTCGACTTCTCCACCTCAAAGTTGAAATCGGGGGCCGGCGACCAGGTGCTGACCGTCTTGGACTCGTTGGCCGATGCGGCGCTTGTGGCGACGGGATTTACATGGGAAAAGTGGGAAGAAAGGGAGAGATAATGGATACAATTAACTGTTAGGATGATCCCGCCGACGCATGAGGATGAGGACATGAACATCGACTCGGAGAAGGACTCTGACTCGGAGGGGGTGAGTATAAAGGCTTTCGCGATCCCGGCTTGAGCTTCGGCTTAGGCTTAGGCCTAGGCCTAGGCTTCGGCTAAGACATTTTCTTCTCCAGGCGCTCGATGATGAGGTCGACCTTGCCGAAGATGACGACGACAATGCGATCCTTGTCGATCTGGCGGCTCCGATTGGAGCAGTGGAGGTCCAGTGATTTCTAGCGCTCAAAAAAGTTATTTTCAGAAGCTACCTCAGCAAGAGCTGCTGAAGAGTACGGTAGATGCTCAGGCGTGGAAGGCCGAGGTCGAGCGGGTCACGCCACAGCTAAAAATTACGATTCGACAAGATGCAAAGGTGGGGAAGCCTACGCCTAAGTCAACCTCTTCTGACGTTTTAGGACTGGCGAATGCACCTTGAGCAGATGCACGCCATGCACAAAAATATGGAGGAGCTGATCGGGGTCGTCACGCCACAAATTGGACAGGTAGCAGCTGGCACTCCTTTAAGTTTTCAGCTACTCTGATCCTAGTTTTTAAAGGGATAGTGACACAATTTTCAGATCACCTCCGAGTTGGACAAGTCGTTGGAACGGATCGATACCCGGGAGAAGAATTTGAACCAACAGCTCTCCGGGCTCATCGCCAAGTTCAGACAATCGACTGATGCCAGGGCTGAAGCGGCTCAGCGATATAAGTAAGTGCGAGAGAGAGACAGAGAGAGAGAGAGAGCGAGAGATAGATGCCAATTTTTAGGACGGCCAGTGTCGGAATCACAGATCGAGAATCAACTCTTCAACGAGTTTCCGATGACCTCGACCAAATCAAGCAACAAATCGAAGAGGAAGGCCAAAAGAATAGTGATGGAGGTGGGTGAGGCGAGCTAGCAGCGATCGTTTGGGAATCAGGAACCTTTGTGGCATTAACTGTTTTAGCCGACGCCAGAAACAAGGTAGTAGCAGAGATTCTTAAAGATAGGATGCACCTACGTGGCAATCTAGAAGATCACTTTTGGGACATTTTTCTGTTTTCAGCTCCACTCGTCAAGGTGAAACAGGCGCTACTAAAGATCGAGGAAGACATTGCGAGGATGAACGTGCAGATCGGGGTGTTGGAGCAAGGGCTGCTTGCTTCTCATCTTCGCGAACGGGTCGCCTTCGCCCAGGAGGCATACGGTGGATATTGAGCGGCGAAATGAATAAATTTATAACACAGCATCCTGAACCTAGTGTGCATAGCAATAAAGGAGCGAGAGAAAGAGAGAGAGAGCCAGAGAGAGAGCGAGAGAGATTGAGAGGGAGCGACAGTGCGAGAGAGAAAGAGAGAGAAAGATGGTGAGATAGAGAGAGAAAGAAAAAGAGAGATATCAATCCTACCCTTAGGATAGCCCAAACCCTCTAACCAGGTGTGAATATTGCCAGGGGCACCTTTTAAAAAATCGATGTGCGGTCGAACGCCGGGGACGCCACTTCCTTTGTTGTTGTTTTTGACCTACGATTCGCCTCTCGCGAACGGTCAGCTGTTTTCCAGTTTCAGGCTCTCTCTCGCCTTCTCTCTCTCTCTCTCTCTCTCTCTCTCTCTCTCTCTATCTCTCTCTGGCCTAGCAAACACTCAATTTTTTGTCGTTTTGCTTTTTTTTGCTTGATCTTGATGAATTGTGATATTTTTCGGCTTTGGTTTTTGCGCCAAATGGTGCAAATATGGAGGAGGTGATGCAAAACGATGGTTGGGTACCTATAATCCTCGGCTTCCTTATAATTTTCATGTGATAATTTTTCCAGAAGCCACTAATCCCTCTGGCTTGAGAAGAAGACTGATAAAAGAACGAAAACGCGTATTTAGCGGGGCTCGGAAAGCTGATTTTCAAAGGTGTATCACCAACTTGCTAATTTGATCCTGATTTTTCCATTTCTTTCCTGAGAGCACTGCGTACTTGGAGGTTTCGGAGCTTTCCCAAGTCTAGACCTTAACATAACACACCAAAGCCGAAGCCTAAGCATAAGCCTAAGCCAAATCCTAAGCTTAAGCCCAAGTCATTCCTAATCCTAAACCTAGGCATAAGCCTAAGCCTAGGCCTAAGCCTAGGCCGACTGGGAAAGCAGCAGTGTCGACGACCCAGCCGTCTCAGCTTCCTTTAGCTTTTAACGATCCCACTCGCAGAATCCGCAATTTTTGACGGCTTACAGCTTCCTTTAATGCGCCCCTTCAACGCTGAAACCCAAAATTTAAATTTCTTAAAGTTCAAAAACCCCACCACCAACCCCCGCCCCATCCACCTTTGCCCCCGGCTTAACCTGCCCTACCCTGCCCGGTCCCTCTAGCTATATGATGCAAACTATCTGGTTGGGTGGGCCTATGATAAGCCATAAAAAGAGATTTCTGCTTGATCACACCCTCTCTTTCCCGCTTGGCTTCTAGTGCTGAGTCGGCGCGGGGTTTGGCCAGATAGTATTTCGAGGAGCCGGCTAATCCGCTTGAGATTGTGATAACCGGGAGCACCCGGCTGGACAGTAGCAGCGCGCGTTTTTCAGATTTTCAGCTGTCTGGGCAGGGAGTTTCCCAGGGTGGGTGGCTTGCATAGGCTTGGACATGGGCTTAGGCTTCGGTTTAAGCTTATGTATCGGCTTAAGATCGGCTTGGGCATAGGCTTAGGCTTCGGCTTATTCTGAGGAATGGGCTTGCGAGGCTAAGCTTTGCCCTGGCTTTGTCAACTCAAAGCTTTACATGAAGCGCATTCTTCAGATTTTTGCGATTTTTCTGGTCTTGCTCGAAATTGACAAATTTTCTGCTCGTCAACAGACTTTTAGCGAGCCCAAATGCTGCTCGGCTTGGCTTTGCTAGCCGTCTCGGTTTCATCAGCCGGTGCTCAGCTACATTTTCCTGGCGAAAACCATCTACAGAACGTGCAGCAGTTGACATTTGGAGGCCAGAATGCGGAGGGGTACTTCAGGTGAGAGAGAGAGAGAAAGAGAGAGGGAGGGAGAGAGGCAGAGGGAGAGAGAGCGCGAGAGAAAAACAGCAAGCAAAAAAAATCAGCATCCGAATTTCAGCTTCGACGACAACTTTTTAACGTTTCAAGCTATGGGAAAAGAGAGATATGGAACGAATTGTGATCAGGTACCCAATAATTTCTTTATTGCAAGCACCGGAACTAATTTTTATTCAATGAACTGTAGCGTTTTAAAGGGGCTGTGAAGGTAAAACAATTAAAAATGCTAAAAGTATCTTTACAGATCTACCGGCTCGACCTGCGAGTAGATGCTCATAAACAGACTCCCCACCGCATTAGCAACGGCATTGGGGGCACCACTTGCTCGTATTTCTACCCGGATAACTCTCACATTCTCTATGCCGGAAATTTTCACAAAGTGGGTATTTTCTGGGTTGATCGTCTTTAAAGGGGCCCGGAAACGCTAAAAATGCAAAATTCCATCACTACACACCTTCCAGACAAAAATCGACCGCTCGAAACCGGATATGGACTCCTGCCCGGTGAAGAAATGCCAGTCCCCCGAAGCCAAGACCGACCAAAAGCTCGCCAATTTGTGTAGGTGCATACTATCGGCTTTTGAAAACCGATTACGATAGGTAATACCTCGTATACCTGGGATTTGTTCCCGGATTATGACATCTTTCAAGTCAACCAATATGGAAATATTGTCTCCCAGTTGACTGATGCGGAGGGTTATGATGCTGAGGGTACGGTATCGCCTGATGGGAAGACGGTGGGTTGGCATGCTTAGGATTAGGCTTAGGCCTAGGTTAGGCATAGGTATAGGCGTAGGCTTAGGCTTACTGTAAAGTGTTTTTACTCAGGCTGGCGTTTTAGGATGGGACCAAGCCTATCTTGTTCAGAATTTTTTGCTGATTCCGAATCCGTTTTCCAAATTGCTGCGGACTTCGCGTTGAAAAGTGATTTTTGGTCTAAATTAAGCTTAAAAACGGCATAAATTCGGATGCTGGCCGGTCCAGGTATTGTTGTGCCCCTTATCTACCCGCCCGAAGCCCCCTTCCCAGTTGGCACCATGGTGCATTGGTAAGCTGTTCGCTTGCCAGGCACAGGGCGGCGGTTCGATCCACGCCCTGCACAATTTCTTTTGCTTTTTGCACAAAAACACATGATTTTCTGCATAAAATCGTGCTTTAATCTCTAAAACCATTACCGAGCCAGTTTTAACGTCGGAGGTGACGACAACTCAAAAAATAACGCAAAAATCCAGATTTAGTCAATTTTTTAGCCTAAATGCGAATAACTTCTTAAATAAATATCGGCAGCAAATTTGGAAACCAGATTCTGAATCAGCGAAAAATTCTGCACAAGATAGGCTTGGTCCCATTCAGGGGCGTAGCCAGAAAAAAATTTCGGGGGGGGCCCCCAAAAATTTTATCCAAAAACCACAAAACATTAACGAGAAAACAGCGCCGCAGGCAAAATTTTTTGAAAAAAAGGTTACATAGCTCTACAAATAGCCGTAAAAAAGTGAAAAAATAGCGCCGCAGGCAGCAAAATTTTTGAGAAAATCAAAATCATAAGGGTCCCCCCTTATGAAATTTTCGGGCCCCGGCCGATTTCGGGGGGGGGGGGGGGGGCCCCGGGCCCCCGGGGCCGGTATTACGCTACGTCCCTGGTCCCATTCTAAAACGCCAGCCTGAGTAAAAACACTTTACAGTTAGGCTTAGGCTTAGGCTTAGGCTTAGGCTTAGACTTAGGTTAAGGTTAACTTAGCGAGCTCAGGCTCAGGCTTAAGTTTTTTCAGATGGTTTTCACCTCGCTTCGCAGCGGTGATCCTGAGCTGTGGCTGATGGACTTGGCCAATGGCTCGGTGTGGCAGGTCGGATACCTTTACCAATATTCGACGCTGATTCTCAGCGTCACTACCCCTTTAGAAGCCACTTTTTACAGCTTACCAACGTGACCGGATATGATGGAGGAGCCTTTTTCTCGCGAGACGGCCAAAAGATCGTGTTCCGCGCGTCGAGACCCGCATCGCCAGGAGACCTCCAGAAATATCAGGATCTCCTAAGGTTTGTCCATTGCCAAAAAAAATATCTGCATGCTTGCCTTCAAAATCATTCAAGGATGTTTTTAGCTACAACCTCGTCGCCCCGACGGCTATGGAATTGTTTACGATCAATGTAGACGGTTCTAACATGAAGCAGGTGAGAGAGAGGGGGGCGAGAGAGAGATAAAGAGTGAGCGAGAGAGAGAAAGAGAGAGAGCGAGAGAGAGAGAGAGAGAAAGAGAGAGAGAGGGAGAGAGAGAGAGAAAGGGACAATCCAATTTTTCAGATTACTCACCTTGGCGGCGCGAATTGGGCTCCCTTCTATCTCAACGACTCGAGGAGGATCATTTTTAGGTGGGTTAGAAGCTACAAAAGACCGTCTCTCTCTGTCTCTCTGTCTCTCTCTCTCTCTCTCTCTCTCTCTCTCTCTCTCTCTTTCTCACTCTCTCTCGGTTCCAACAAACTCTAATTTTAGCACTGACTTCAACTCGGCTCAGGGTTTCGGCGCCTTCGATCTGTTCCTGATCAACGATGATGGCACCGGGTTGGAGCAGGTCAGTTCAGATTTTCTGGATATTAGCTTTCCGCAATTTTTTGCTTAAAATTAAACTGAAATTGTTTTCATGTAAAAATTGGGCTTAAGAGAGGCCTAGGTCACCTTCGACAACGGCCAATTCGACGCGTTTCCGATGATGAACTACGCGGGCACGAAACTGGTGTGGTTTTGCGCCCTTTTTCAATAATTTCTTAGCTTTCCCAATCTACTTAAAGTTTCTTGATGCTAATTGAAAGTCATTAAGCTTAAATTTCAAGGTGTGGGGCTCAAGCCGTAACGGCTCGGCCTACGAGCTCAACCTGTTCATCGCCGACTGGGTGGACAGCCCGAGCACCCGGGCAAATCGGTTGGAGGACCAGGTTTGCAACAAGCCTTCACTTGGCAAGCTCGGGCTTTAGAACCTTGAGCAGCAGCTTGAAGACGTTGAGGCCGAGAAGCCAAGCCCAAGGTGGCAAGACTTGGAGACCGAACCCTACGACAATGTGGTGCACTATGCTGGTGAAGTCCATCTGGCGAATGTGAAGCAATTGACATTTGGTGGTCAGAATGCTGAGGGATACTTTAGGTGAGAGAGAAAGGGAGACAGAGAGAGAGAGAGAGAGAGAGAGAGAGAGAGAGAGCGAGATAGGGAGAGAGTGAGAGAGGAGAGAGAGGCAGAGAGAGACGGGTTATTGCCTATTTCAGTTTCGACGACACCCGGCTAACCATCCAAGCTACCGGCGGAAACTATTACGGAACAGACTGCGATCAGGTAAGTTTTTCGGAATGATCCTTTAAAGGGAGCGTGACAGCAGTGTTTCAAACCCTACATTAACTCTATTTTTTGTAGATCTACGAAATCGACCTCAACCACCCCCCAGAGTCCCAGATTCTGCCCCGAATGTCCACGGGGCTTGGCGGGACCACCTGCTCCTATTATTTCAACGAAAACGGCAATCGGCACAGCTTGTACGCTGGCAACTTTTGGAATGTGAGTCTCAACGGGATTGGTGGAAAGCGCGCGTAAGATACCTGGCACGTGAACTCCTAGCTGACGTCGTTTAGCTGTTGTTGACCTATTTTTGGTTCCTTCAAATGGTGCGTGCACTGCCGTCTAGATGACGTTGCCGACCATCGACCGCCTTGAACCGCGAGCCCAAAGTGCCAAGTTTTCAGGTGAAAATCGACCCCAAGAACCCCTCCAAGTCGTGTCCAGTCAAGAAGTGCTCGCAGCCGAACATCACGGACCCAGTGTTGGCAAACCTGTGTAAAACGGAATACACATGGGATATCTATCCGGACTACGACATTTTTAAGGTGAGAAAGAGAGACACTGAGCGAGAGAGACAGAGAGAGAGCGATCTAGAGAGAGAGACCGAAAAAAAGAGTGAGAGAGAGAGAGAAAGAGAGACTTTCTGGACTTTAGGTAAACGAGTTCGGAAATGTCGTGCAACAACTGACGAATCATGAAGGCTACGATGCGGAGGGAGTCGTAAGTATCTTAATTCCGCAATTTTCACGTTTAAAAATGGATTATGCTCCAGATTCCGTCTCTAGGTTAGCCCCGACGGCAAGCTGATCGCTTTCACATCGATTCGAAGCGGCGATCTGGAGCTGTGGATTATGAATAGTGATGGGACGAACCCGAGACAGGTACACGGTACCGTAGGCCTCTATCGATCGACCTGTAGATCACCACCGAGCTGGGATACGACGGTGGATCGTTTTTCTCACCCGATGGCAAGAGGCTGATCTTCAGAGCGAGCCGCCCGAAGACGCGGAAGGAAAAAGATACTTATTTGGTGAGTGGGTTTCCGGGCAGGCTTAGACTTGGGCTTAGGCTTAGGCTTAGGCTTAGGCTTAGGCTTAGGCTTAGGCTTAGGCTTAGGCTTCGGCTTAGGCTTAGGCTTAGGCTTAGGTTTTGGCTTAGGCTTAGGCTTAGGCTTAGGCTTAGGCTTAGGCTTAGGCTTAGGCTTAGGCTTAGGCTTCGAGTGCTTGACCTCAACATCTCCATTTCGGGCACTCCTCAGCTACGGTCTCGTGGCCCCCACCCAAATGGAGCTATTCGTAGTGGACATCGACGGTTCCAACCTGCGACAAATCACGCATCTCGGAGGCGCCAACTGGGCTCCCTACTATTTGAACGACAACAAAAGGGTCATCTTCTCGACCGACTTCAACTCGACTGCCGGATTCGGGGCGTTCGATTTGTATCTGATCAACGATGATGGGACTGGGCTGCAGAGGGTGGGCTTTAAGGAGATTGGGAAGTTGTAGTTTTGAGACAGACTGGCAAAGCGCTTTGAGACAAGCAAAATTGCAGGGCTTCTTTGAGAAACAGGGCTTCTAGGTGACCTACGACGACGGCAAGTTCGACTCGTTCCCTATGATGAACTATGAGGGCACAAAGTTAGTATGGGGCAGCAGCCGAAATGGTACGATGTACGATCTCAACCTGTTCATCGCCGATTGGGTGGATCCGGAAGGTGAGCGCAAGCCTAAGCCTAAGCTTAACCTAAGCTAAGCCGAAGCCTGATACTAAGTCTAAGCCTAAGCTAAAGCCTATTTATATGCCGTTTTTCAGCCCCATCTTCAGCCTCATCTTCAGCCCCATCTTCAGCCCCATCTTCAGCCCCATCTTCAGCTACAAATGCTCCAAATGACCCTACCGGCACCACATCGGCACATACTCAGCCTCCAACCACAAGTTCTACTACGGGTACCACGCTTCTATCCTCAATCTTCATTTCTTTGCTCTCTTTCGTTGTCTTTCCATTAATGCGGTAATATGACCTTGTGCTTCACTTTCTCCATGCGTGTACAATAAAGGAAACGGGGGTGTTGTTCCCCCCCTCACCGTGACTCACAATCAGAAATTTGTTTTGAGAGACCGGGAGCAGGTCAAGGAGGGCACGGAAAGTTCGGGTGAAAGCTTTTTAGCATCCGTTTTGGCGGGTCTAAGGCAGAAGGTTTTGACGATAGCTTTTACTGAACGTTTTGGATAAAACAACACAAAAATACAAGAAATAGTTTCAAAAAATGGTTTTCCGACTTGGAAACACTAGATATGTCGCAGGGCGCCTTGAGAAGCCGAATTTTGAAGCCGAAATCTTTAGAGCAAAACCGTATAAGTAACATCCTCTGAAAGAGCATCAAAAACTACGCTAGAAAATGTTTAGATAAAAGGGTTTTAGTCTAAGAGATTTTTAAGGCGACGTTGAGACTTTTTTTGGCCGGGCCAAGGCTTCGTTTGTCTTTAGAGCCGTTTTTGAGGTCGTGATCTTTAGGAAAATCAATGCTTGTTAAACCCATTTGAAAAGCATCAAAAACTACACACATTTGTTCAAAGAATCAATTTTAATACCGTCCCTTTAGAATTCCAAGGAAAGGTTATGGCAGTGGTCTGATTTTCTGTCCCTCCCAGCAATTTTCGAGACCGGAAACCAGCAGAAATTTTGTGGAACCCAGCCGCCGGTCAGCAACCCACAATTCCCACCAATTCCACACAGCCAGCCGCTGGAAAAGGTTCCACTACCCCCGTTTTGGCTTTTGCCATGCCCTCCCCTTCCTCTCTCTCCGTTTCATCTACCGAACCGGTTCTGCTCCCCACCTCCACCTCCTCCCAATACCCTGCGGCTACGGCTGGCATATCAGAATCGGAAAGGGCGAAATCACTAGTGCTCTCTCTCTCTCTTTCTCTCTCTCGCTTTGATCCGGATCGATCACGGTTGGCTTCTTCCCCCACATAAAAAGCCTTTAGGTCAAGGTCTAGCTGGTTTGGGCGTCCTTTCCTGGACTGTGTTTGTTGACGTTATCCGAAACCTTCCTGCACGGTCGCTTTCAATTTCCTAAAGCTTCCTGTTAGCTCTTCTCCCTTTGAATCTAGCTTCCCCAAGCGTTTCTGCTAGCTCGCCCGGATCCGATAAGCTTAACCCCCCTAAATTGTCTTCCTAAAGATTTTCTGCTTGCTTGCCTCGGTCCTCTTTTCTCAACGACTTAAATAATGGATTTAGATGCGAGAATTACTTATCTTCCTGGTGCTGACCATCATCACCATCGAGGCCGGCTTCACGCCCCATTTTTCAAGATGGCTCGACAATTATTATGGGCCGCAGATTAGGACGCAGATGGAGAGGTGAGCAGGAGCCTAAGCCTAGCGTAAACCTAAGCTTACGCCTTAGCCGAATCGTAATCTTAAGCCTAAGCCTGAGCCTAGCCTAGGCCTAAGCCAATGCCCAAGCAAGCCCAATTTTTTAGGGTCGATTTGGGCCCCAAGGGCTCATTTGGCGGCAAGCAAAATGATGCCGATCCGGTCGTTAATCAGCCAGTCGTCTTTGTCCATGGCGTCTCCGACACGGCCGGGGAGAAGCCGACCGAAGCGGCGAATTGGTTTAGGTGGGAGCATTGATGGGAGGGCCTAGAAATAGTATTCTAGAAACAAAGCCGGTTATCGCTCCTCCGAAGTTTATTCGACCACATATTTTAATGGAGCCCAGGGGAATCCGTTGAAGTGGGTCGAGTATTCGATGAAGTGTGAATATGTTAAGCAGGTATGGGACTCGGTTTCTCTCTCTCACCCTCTCTTTCTCTCTCTCTCTCTCGCTGTATGATCGCCTTCTTGTTTAGGTCCGAGCCCTGATTGTCGCGGTCCGTTTATACACCGGTCGCCAGGTAGACGTCATTGGGTTTTCCCTCGGAGTCGTCGTTTCCAGGAAGGCTATCCTTGGAGGTGATTTTTTATACCTTAATGGTCTTTTAGAAGTCGTACCATCTCCCGCTCTCTCTCCCTCCCTCTCTCTCTCTCTCTCTCGCTCTCTCTCTATCTCTCTCTGATCCCACCGCTTCATCCCTTTAAAAGCACCCGAATCCCGAATTTTAGGTCACTGCGTCGACTCCGGCGAGTACCTTGGCGGACCCTTGACCAAGTTTATCGACACCTACGTTGGCGTGGCCGGCCCTAACCATGGCATCTCACTACAGGTATCGTATGCAGTTTTTCTGCTAACGTCTTTCCTTTAAATATAAAGATTTCTGGAAACTATAGTCCATGTTTTAGATGGCCGGCCTGCAACTCCCGGCTTGCCTCTTCGGTGGTCTCCCAATTTGTAACCAACTGAACGGATTATACTCTGGAAATTGCCCGCAGACTAGCAGATATCTACAGGTCGGTAAAAAAACGTTTTAAAGGAACTTGACAGGCTAATCCCTGGCCGATTTTTAGCGTCGTTAGAAGCTCTAAGTAGGCTTCCTCGCAATCCCGAAAAATTCAAGAAGCTAAAACGAAGCAGGATGATTTTTAGGACAAAAATTTTAGAATTTGAAATTATTTTAGATTTCTCTTAAAATTTAAATTTTTGAATTTTTTAGTGATAATTTAGATGAACTAAAACAAAAAATAAGCAAATAATAAAAAAACCAAATCACATTGGAGAACTTAAAAATTTTAGGACATCAACGCCATCCAACGCTACGAGGGGCAACATATTTACACCATCTACAGTAAGCAGGATCAGACCGTTGGCTTCGTCGTTTGTGGAGGGGCAAGTTTTTCTCTATCTCCCTGTTTCTCTATCTTTCTCTCTCACTCACTCTCTATCTCTCCTTCTTTCTCTCCCCTCTAACGTATTTTTTTCAGCTAACCTCCCAAATCGCCGGCCAAGATGGAGAGCGACAATACGACGGCTTGAAGCACGATGAATGCTTCCACTCCACCCACAATATCCAACTGCACATGGTCCGCGATCATCAGGTGATCCAGGAATAGTGTGGCTACTCTACGCTCCGCTCCGCTCCGCTTACGCCTGACCTTCGCTACCGTGCCCCCGTCCTTTCACTTCCACAATGGTCTCTGTGATTCGTCATATATTTCTTGCTTTGGGCTCCGTGTTGCAATAAATATTTATGCTAACAAGGCTTAAGTGAAGCGAAGCCATCAAGCAAGCCTAAGCCAAAGCCTACGCTTAAGCCAAAGCATAAGCCTAAGCCAAAGACTAAGCCTACGCCTAAGCCTAAGTTTCTGTTACCATCCTTTTAAGATAAATCCTCAGGTAATCGAGGGCCCGCTGCGTGGCAGACGTCGTGGACCAAGACCCTGGAAGCGAAACCCGGGCAGAAGACCCTGGTGGAGGCGGCGTGGATGAAGCTGCACTTCTTTGATAGTCGCTAGAAGTCTATGATTATTTTTGAACAATTTTGCGGTTTTGTGAGACGGGTTGGGCTTGTTGTGGATTTTTGCAGGCGCCAAAAAAAGAATTTTTCAGGTTACCAAAGGCAGAGTTATCGATTTTTGGCTATGGATTCCTATCGCGTTTCTCCGCCCCTCGTTGGATTCCTGTTTTTGTACTTTTCCAGGCATATTTGAGGCCGATCGAGCAATTTCAACACGCGATCCAATTTGCATCTGAAAGAGCATAAAAATTAGTGCGAAAAAAAGTTTTGCTACGAAACTTGGGAGACTCTGGTTTAATTGCTAGGATTTTTTGAAATGATCACTTTTTGTACTCTTTGTATATTTGTACTGTACCTTCGATCCCCCTGAATTTTCTCAATTTATTGGCACAATAATAAAGTACAAATCTAAACGATGTGTGTGACGACGGCTAGACGAGATCAATATGAGTGTCAGCGGGCACGCAATAAATACTATGTACGTGGTGGGTGGGACTGTGGGATACGGTCGTTTTGGGAGTGGGGTACGGTAGGGGAGGCAGAGGCTAATGTGAAATACCCAGGGGCGTAGCCAGAAAAAAATTTCGGGGGGGGGCCCCCAAAAAATTTTTCCAAAAAACTCAAAACATTAACGAAAAAACAGCGCCGCAGGCAAAAATTTTTGAAAAAAAGGTTACATAGCTCTACAAATAGCCGTAAAAACGCGAAAAAATAGCGCCGCAGGCAGCAAAATTTTTGAAAAAATAAAAATCATAAGGGTCCCCCCTTATGAAATTTTCTGGCCCCGGCCGATTTCGGGGGGGGGGGCCCCGGGCCCCCGGGGCCGGTATTACGCTACGTCCCTGGAAATACCCATCTAACGGGGGGAATGGAGGGGGGGGGAAGGGGGCGTGGCTTAAAGGGACCGGGAAATTTCGGAGCTACCGAATTTGCATATCGATCAAAAGCGATTTGCTTTCATAAGGTGAAAATTCAGAATGTCGGGATTCAAAATGTCGAAATTTCATAATGTCGAAATTTCAAAATGTCGAAATTCATAGTGTCGTAATTCAGAAAGCCTAAAATTTTTTGCATGGGATTCGAGGGGTTCTCGGGAAATTAGCTTAAAATGTGAATTTCGACATTATGAAATTTCGACATCCTGATTTTCGACATTTTGAACGAAACCATCAAAGCGATTTTAAAGGGAGCGTTACAGGAAGCGAATCGCCCTGTCACTGCCCCTTTAAAATCACTAGATGCAAATTAGGAGGCTCTAAAAATTCAGGGTCGCTGTAATCCAAAAAAAATCGCAAAAATGCAGTCACAAAAATCACCGGTGGCGTGTTTTTGTTTGATTGCTATTTCGGGGCGGCGTTTGAAAACAGCTTAAAAATCATAGCCAAGCAAATATCTAAAGAAAATTATGAAATTAATCGAAAACAAGGCCAAATCCATCGGGGGAATACGGTAGGGGAAAAGGTGGGAATTATGCAAATTTCGGAAATATCATAAACAACGTTGGAAAAGCGTATTTTTGAAGTGAGCGCAACACCGTAGGGGCCATTGGCTGATTGGAATAAATTAGCTGGAACCGAAACTGTGAAGCCAAATATATTTGCATGTCATGCGAAGCTCTCAAGAATATTCAGCGGTCAAAAAAAACGGATAAAAAATTGGGATAAGTAGGCAAAAGTTAATGCCTGGGAATTATTGCGACAGGACGCGGTTTTAAAGGGATGGTTCCGAACTTTGGCTTAGGCTTAGGCTTAGGCTTAGGCTTCGCTTAGGAGTATGCTTAGGCTAAGGCTTTTTTGAAAAGCTTTGAAAGCTAGCTAGCAGAAACCCTTTGCCAGACGGAACGACACCTTTAACCTGAAAAATCGGCTTTTTCAGATAGAAATCGCTAAAACACGAGATAGGAGAGAGACAGTGGAGTGTACAATTTTAAAGGGACGGTGCCAGCCAGGAGGCGTCTCCTATTTCTTCTCCTTCTCGTCCTTCTTGTCGCCCTCCTCTTCCACAGGTCCAAGGGTATGCCATTGGGCGATGGGTCTTCGAGGAGACGCCAACATGTCCATCCAATGCCTCAACTCGGCTCCGGTGCCGTTGCAGCCTGAAAATATCGTTCTGTAGGCTTAAGCTTAGGCTTAGGCTTGGGCTTAGGTTTAAACTCGCGATTCACATACCTAGCAAACATCTTCCAATCGCGTCGTTCGATCCAAGTTTATCGTAGTCCATTACCGTAATCATCAGCGATACTTTCTAAACAGCGATTTTTGAAGGGGATCATTCTTATTAATTCGGGGAATCGGTTTTAGGAAGCCAGAAATACTACGGGAAAATAAGAATTAAAAGAACAAATCCGGGAAATTTAATTAATTTAAGCATTTAATATCATTAAATAAAGCTTATTAAATCATTTTTTTGTTACTTAAGCATTCAATTAAGTCATGAAGTAATAGAATATATTAAATATATATCCCATGCCTGAATCTGCTCGAACGGCACTTCAAAGGAGAAGCTCTCATTGTAGTACGGGTTCAGCGTGCATTTCTTGATGGACGTCTTCTTCTTCTTTAACCGTTTTCCGCCCTGCATCAGCACGATCTTCACGTATGGATCTGAAATATATAGCCGTCCGTGTGTTAATTTGCGTATTTAAAGGGCCGTGTAAGTTTGATATGTCGCTCATAGATTCCCGGCGATAGAAAGGGCTTTTTAAGGAGCGTGTAGGTCTTGTGCGTTATTGGAGCCGATAGCAGGAGCGATGAGGAGTAGGTTATTTTTGCGTTCGAGTAGTTTATGTTAATTTAGATCTAACGAGCTGCTGAGTAGGATTAGAGGTTTTGGGAATTCTCTCTCTCTCTCTCTCTCTCTCTCTCTCTCTCTCTGTCTCTCTTTCTCTATCGTTATCTCTATTTCCTAGTCTCTTGCCACCCTCCCTATCTCTCTCTCTCTCTCTCTCTCTCTCTCTCTCTCTCTCTCTCTCTGTGTCTCTCTCTATCTCTCTCTCTCTCTCTCTCTCTCTCTCTCTCTGCTTGGCAACTTCCCAGTCCCTTTAAAACCACGGCCGCGAGCGAGAATCACAGAAGAAGCTCATTCTCCCCGCTTTCCCATTCCTCCTCAACCTTAATCCTCCACTCCGGCAGATGCTCAAAGCAGAAACTCTCGTTGTAGTATGCATTCAACGTATTCCGCTTTATCGACGTCTTCTTCTTTTTCACCCTCTTCCCACCCTCGCGGATCTCCACTTTCACGTACGGATCTGGCCAATTTACGCGTTTTTTTGACACAATTCAACGGAAACGCTTTTAGCGTGCCTGAATTTTCGGCAGTAACTTAAACTTAATGGCCCCGTTAACTAACCAGACAATCCTCCGACGTCCATTTTTTTTAGATTCTTTGCCTCCAGAATGACCACCGTCAGCTTGCCGGCGGTAGGAACGTAGCGCAGCGAAAAGCAAATGTCACCAAGAGCCTTTTCCTGAAAACACGGAATTCTTGAAAATTTCGAGTTTTTTTGGTGTCTATGTCTCTTTAAAAAACCTACAGCCTCCTTGTCATCTGGTGGTGGCTGAATGTCTTTCCATTCCTCGATGACTTGGCCAAGATCAATTTTGCCGAGTGGGAGGAGCACCTGGAAGGTGAAAATTTGCATTTTTTTCGTTTGCGCTTTCTCCCTCCCTCTCTCTCGCTCCCTCTCTCTCCCTATCTCTCTCTCTCTCTCTCTCTCACTTTCCCTCTCTCTCGCTCGCTGTTTCTCTCGTCTCACCTGTCCAATCTGGTCGTGCTTGCTGAATCGATCAAAATCGTACACGGCAAAGACCAGCGTCTTGGAGGTGATCTCGTTGAAGGGGACCTAGTAAAGGAAACTTGATTTAGAAGGTCCGTAAGCTTCATCAGGAAAAATTTGAGCGTAGGACTAAGCCTAAGCCTAAGCATAAGCTGCCTCAATCAACTTAAATTCACCTTGAAGATGAACGTCTCATTGAATACCGGGTTCAGCGTCTTCCGATGGACCTTCGTTTCAACCTAAAAATGACAAATCATGCATATTTTGAAACTCTCTGACCTTCTTCTTCTTGTCGGGCAGCAAGTAGAGTTTCACATAGGGATCGGAGGTTCCGGACATGTCCATGCCGGGCAGATCTTCGGCTTGGATCACGGTGACGGTCAGCTGAATGGGAAATGATCACGCTATGAGAATCAGGCTTCTCCAGTCCTTGAGAAAACATAAATTCACCCCCCTTACCTGTCCTTGTTGGAAGTCGTAGTCGAGTTTGTACTGTATCCGGCCGAGCTTGACCTGAATATGATGATTTTTTGGGGTAGGAAGGAGATTTCCCGTTTTAAAGCGGCTGCGAATCAAAAACCGTAGGGTTGGTAGTCAGATTACGTGTTCTAAAAACCCACTTCTTCCTTCACTTCAGCCTGCTCCTTCTCGTTCTCCTCCATATTTTCGCCGAGACCGGCCAGATCGGCGGCCAACCCGGCTTCTTTGTCGAACATTGCGTCGGTTCCGCCTTTTCCGAAGAGGCCCTAAAATGCGTTTTTCCGGACAATCAAAAAAATTCGGGTTACGGTAGCCCGATATCCGTGGTCAGCGCGAAAAATTGGTCTGGAACCTGCTCGGGACCAAGTTTAGGCTTGGTTTAAACTTGGGCTCAGGCTTAGGCTTAGGCATGAGCTTAGGCTTAGGCTTAGGCTTAGGCTTAGGCTTAGGCTTAGGCTTAGGCTTAGGCTTAGGCTTAGGCTTAGGCTTAGGCTTAGCGTAGTCGTGCTCAATATTCCAACGTTTACCTTGAATCCCTTCTTGTTCTGCTCGCCGTGCCGCTTCTTGCCAAACAACTAAAACGGCATCGATATTATTAAAAATGTTTGAAATTTTTTTTACGATTTTTGGGTATGAATTTTAACAGATCCTTACTTGAAAAACCAACCTTTCTGATCAGCAAATAGGCGCAGAGGAGCACGATGGCTAGGGCAATAATTCCAAGAAAGACGAAAGCCCATTCCGGCACTGAAAAAGCAAATTTTCTAAACCTATCCGCTCGAAAAATTTAAATAAATCAATCAAGTTTTCCCAGGCAGCATTAGCCTGAACAAATCAGGGTGATTTATGAAATTCAGGCATTTTATGTGTGGCTTTATCATGCTCATGCCTAGTTATAATTTTTGAGGGGCATCTTACCAACCTGCTGATCGCATTTCTGAAATTTTTTATGGGTCTTGACATCAAATCCTGATTTCCCCAAGGTTCTTTGCTAGCTTGCTCTCCCGTCTAAAACCCAAAACTCACTTCCGGTTTCCTTCATCACTTTCAGCTTCACTTTATCCTTCAGGTCGACGGCCGTGTCGACTACCGTATCCTTGGCCTTGGCCAGGAACGACTCCTTCGTCACGGCCCTGAAAAGGTGGCGGGCTAGAATTTATCATTTCCGGTCCGGAATAGGAGAGTTTTTGTGGTTTGATCTCTAGCAAATTGAGGGTTTCCAAATTAAGACATCTAAATTGGGTTCTGGTCGCTTTAGGTCGGTTTCCAATTAGCGAATTCCGTCATTTGGTTCCGGGTGTATTAAGGAGGGGAATTCAGGAGAGGAAGAGATCTCTCTTGCCCACTCTTTCCTACTCACTCTCACTCTCTCTTTCTCTGTCTCTGTCTCTCTCGTTCTCTCTTGCTCTCGCTCTCTCTCACCCTCCCTCTCTTTCACTCTCTCTCCCTCCCTCCCTGACTCTCTCTCTATCTCTCTCTCTCTCTCTCTCGCTCTCCCATTACTTTTTTGACTACGTATTACATTACGTGTACGTTTCCCCGGCACCGTCCCTAAAGCCTCCCCCAGCCTTTTTGTCCCCAATTCCCGTTCGAATTCTCCCGCTGCCAATTTTAAATTGCCCTTTCGGACCACCCAAATCGACCTCTTTTTGCTTTATTCCCCCATGGGCCCTAACTGGGCCCTAACCAAGCCCCCCAACGTCAACCGAATTCCGGCCTTAATGGCCATTTCCCCGTTTTTTCGGGCCCTGGCCTTCCTGGGCCCCGGAAATTCGGCCTAGCCGGCAAGGGGAACACCGTAAATAAGGGCCCAAATAAGGGGCAAAAATTTCAGGAATTTGCATTTTTTAATATGTCGGAAAAAAGCACTTACTCTGTGGTTTTCGAGGCAATCGTTGAGGTTACGCGTTCCATCGGCATTTCGTCGGGAGCAAACTACAAAAAAAATAGATTTTTATTTGTTTTCCTAAAGGATCTTGGCTAGCGTTTGCTGATTTGGCTCAGCCCCAGGTGATCCTTATTCTTTAGAAACTTTCTATGGATTCTGACTTGTCAAGTTAGGCTGAGATTTAGGCTTAGGCTTGGCCGGCTTACAGACTACAAAATTACGGGGACATTTTCTCGCTTCTCGACCGAACAAACGAACCTCTTTGTTCATGTCCTGATCCTCGTCCTCCTCCATCTCCGACTCAATAATTCGCGGCATGGCGGCCGTGGTGGTTGTTGCCGAGAGAGATCCCCGAGTAGCCGGGCCCGGGCTCTGCCTGCAAATAAAACACATTTGAATTTCATTACTTTCACACGAGTCGCCGGGGCCAGAAATGAGCCAAAATGAGCACGAAAAACGGAATATTCTGGAAAACAAATCTGAAAATCATCAAATACGAAATAGTGAATTAAAGTGAGGAAAAGCCAAAATTATGGTTCTGGCAAAAGGTGCAATTTGAAGTGGCTTGCAGTCACAAGATTTTGCTTTAAAATTTAAGCCATCGCCAGCTCGCCTGAGCCTAAGCCTAAACCTAAGCCTAAGCCGAAGCTCAAGCCGAAGCTCAAGCCGAAGCTTAAAGCTAAGCCTGGGGCTGTTATTACTTCTGGTTTTAAAAGCATGATATAATAAAAAATATTTTTGCCCAAAAGCCCTTCAAAAATCTATACAAACCCCCGGTGTGGGCGGCATAACGCTATGCGTGAATTTTGAACCCCCATCAAAAATCGGCCGTTCCCAGATCGATGCAAAGTGGACGGGCTGGGAACCCTGGGGAGGACGTCATTTTGTTGCTGATTTTGAATTGAGTGTTTTAGTTTTTTATGCGTCAAAATTCGTATTCGTACTCGGAAATCTAGAAAAAATGGCAGGCTAGCGGAGATTATTTGGGAATTAGCCGAGCAGAGACTATCTGATCCAACATAAATTTTTAGGAAGGGGCAGGCTAGCAGAGATTCTCTAGGAAAAGACAGGCTAGGCTAGCAAAGATTTTTTAGGAAATGGCAGGCAGTTTCGCGGAAAACGAAAGGTTGGCGAGCAGAGATCATTTGCGGAAAATGACTACAAACTAGCAGAGACCTTTGCGGAAATCGATGGGCGTCTCTAACTCGCGCTCTTTTTCTCTCTTTGTTTCTCTCTGGCTCTCGCTCTCTTCTCGCGCGCGCTCTCTCTCTCTCTCCCTATCTCCAAAAACTAGCAACTCGTCATTCCATTTCTCACTACCAGAAATCTCGGTGTTAGCGCCCGGTGTCCCCCAGCGGATCGGCCCCTCTAATAGAATCTCGGCCCGCCCTGGGGTCCCACCGCCACCCTCCAAAATCAATGGCAAAATGCCAGCCGTTTTTCGGGTCGCTCCGGGCGATTGGGGAAGAGCTGTGCAAAGCTCTGCTATTGTTTTATCTGGCTATAGGGGTCGAAAATCGGAAGGGAACGGAATGGTGTAACCCGAGACAGGAAGTCCTTAAAAAAGTTTAAACAGCGAAAAACAGGCGTCGTTCGTCCTGGAATTAGGCTTCTAAGCTTCGCAGACATTGAAAAACCCGTAAATGAGCTAAAATTCTATTAAACGCAGCGGGTAACCTAGCAGAAATTTTTCGGGAAATCCGGGGCGGCAGAGATTCTTTAGGAAAAGGCGGGTTAGCAGAAAGCCTTTTGGAAGGGCAGGCTAGCAGCTATTCTTTAGGAAAAGGCAGGCAAGCAGAGATTCTTTAGGAAAGGGCAGGCTAGCAGCTATTCTTTAGGAAAAGGCAGGCAAGCAGAGATTCTTTAGGAAAGGGCAGGCTAGCAGCTATTCTTTAGGAAAAGGCAGGCAAGCAGAGATTCCTTAGGAAAGCGCAGGCCTGGCTGAGACTATTTAAAAAAAGCGGGCTAGCAGAAGTTCTTTAGGAACGAGCCAGCTAAAGGATATTCTTCAGGAAAAGGCAGGATAGCAGAGATTTTTAGAAAAAAGGCAGGCTAGCAAACTTCCTCACGGAATCCCATAAACCTTATAAACTTCAAATAGCGCAGAGTTCTCCGCGAAGACCCCGAATAGCGTGACCCATTTGCGCCACCAAAAAAGGGGTGAATCGTCGACGTGTGGCCTTTAGGGCCCATCCGGGGTCCCAGGCGTGAATCTCCGCTCACAGGGCCCTGCAATAGACGGGGGTCCAGTGGTGAGAGATAGCCGGAGGGGAGAGACCAGAGAGGCCGTAGGGCCCCTGGGCCCTCCGTGGGCCCGCAGCTGGATCGATCCCCCTCGCGGCGATGAACTTGGGGTTGAGGAGGGGGAGCCTCATCGGAAAAAAGGGAGGGGAGGCGGCGAAGAAGCCATTTCTCAGGCCGATGGCTAGGGGAATAGGAGAGGGGAAAGGGCAACTAAAGGGATAGAGAAGTGAGGAAAGTGGCGTTATATTGTCTATATTGCCGACACGATATCTTTAAAACGTGCAGGCTTAGCTTTTAATTTCCGGTCAGGCTTAGGCTTAGGCGTAGGCGTAGGCTTAGGCTTAGGCTCAGGCTCAGGCTCAGGCTCAGGCTCAGGCTCAGGCTCAGGCTTAGGCTTAGGCTTAGGCTTAGGCTTAGGCTTATAGTTAGCCGGTGTTTAGCACAGTTTTTCGCTTGTAAGAGCACTTTCAACCCTTTCACGCACTCGTCCTCTATCGCTCAAGAAGCCAACAAGGGGAAAAAGCCATTTCTTCACGGCCCGTGGGCCCTTTTTGGGCGCTTTTGGCCTCTGTGGGCCCCTAGGAAAGCCCGACGCCACCCAGGAAACTATTGGAGAAGGTGGGGGAGGAGGAGGAGGGGGAGGTACATAGCAATACGACGGGGCGATATGTGTAGATGGCGGGGGTTAGATATTGGATGCGAGGAGCGACGATCCTTTTTTTTGCTCCTTGGTTAGTAATAAAGTGGGAAAAGGGGGGTGGGTGGAGCAGGCTTGATTAAAGGTTGGCGTAGGAATTGGAGGGCTGTCCATTGGCTGTTTTCTCGGACAGGGATGGCAACTAGCAGAGATCACTGGGGACGATTTACAGCCTTCAGGAAAGGGAAGGCTAGCAGAGATTCTTTTGGAAAGGAGATTTCCTTAATAACCCAGATCGGGTTCTGATTCTGCAAAAAAATATCCCGCGAGTACATCCCCGCCCAAAACTCTGTGGTTTGCTCAGCCGCCCTGGCCGCCGAAAACAATAGGACCAAAAAAGCGGGTGGAGCCGCTGGAATTAGGGCAAAAACGGGCGGGGGTCGAGCCCTGCGTTGGTGGCCCGGGTTTTTGTTTGTTTTCGAGGTCCCGACCCCAGGCTTTTGTGTTTTTTAGCGACTATAAACTTTTTGAATGCTGTTTGTCAATTGCTTAGGTCTGGATAAGGGGAAGCCGGATTGTTTTCTATTAATGCCTGATTTTTCCGGAAGTCGGCGAGATTTTGAAGGGTTTCCGGAAAGAGAGAGAGAGAGAGAGAGAGAGAGAGAGAGAGAAAGAGCGTGAGATAGAAAGAAAGATTTTCTGAAAAAACTTTAGTGTGTTGCAAAAAATAGCTTTCGCATGAAAACCCGAAAGCCATTTAGCCATTTCCTATTTCTTCCTCCTTCCGATATTACTATTTCCAATCCCCTTCGAAGTCCCGACTTCAGCATTTCTTTAAACCCCGCAATGCGCTTATTCTACGATGCAAATATTAGAAATTACTAAAAGTGAGAGATATGGCGAGAGAATGAGAGAGAGATATATCGAGAGAGAGAGAGAGAGAGAGAGAGAGATCGAGAGAGATATAGAAAAAAAAACAAAGTAAGAACGGGGCCCTCATCTGGGCCCTAGTGGCAAACAGGGCCCCTAGAGGTGGGCCCTAGGCCCCAATGCATCATAAGGGAAGGGAAGGAGGGCCAAAAGACAAGGCCTCGTCCGCCGGCGCGGGCTTTTCTCTACTCCCCTTTTTAGGGTTTTCTCTTGAGGATGGGTAGAGGAGGAATGGGCAGGAGAAGCAGGACAGAATGAGAACAATGGAGCGCTTGCTGAGGAATTGAATGGAAGGATGGGGAAAAAAGGAGAGTGCAGGGGGGTGAAGAAGATTTAGGCTTAGGCTTGGGCTTAGGTTTGTGCTTAGGCTTAGGCTTAGGCTTCGGCTTAGGCGTCGGTTAGGCTTAGGCTTAGGTTTGGGCTTAGGCTTAGGCTTAGGCTTAGGCTTAGGCTTAGGCTTAGGCTTAGGCTTAAGCTTAGGCTTGGGCTTAGGCTTAGGCTTAGGTTTGGGCTTAGGCTTAGGCTTAGGCTCGCTGTAATAATAGGATCGAACTATGTCACATGTCATCTACCCACTTGAAGGCCTCTTTAAAAGCCGATATTTCAGTTCAAAAAGTGCACACTATAACAACATCACATAAAACAAAATTGCTATTCTATTTTCTAGCCAATTCAGATTGCGTGAAACGTTTAATAAAGTTGGGAGTAGGGCGGAAAACGGGTACGCTAAAACAGGTGGGACAAGATTTCGGCAGAGCGTCCGGGCCAAGGCAAAAATTTGCGGGGGGCCAAAGTGCTTGCCCAGCTGGAAGCCGTGTTATTGTATCCAGGCGGGGATGGGAGCCTGTTTTGGGGAATTAGAATTTGGAGAATTATGGGTTTCAGGTAAGAATCTCGTTAGGAAGCCAATTCTGGGTTTTCTATCGGAAAAGCGAAAAACTGGGCTAGGAAAATCCAAAAATTAATTTTTTTTTTGCCGATTTTGGTTGACCCAGATGGCATTATAAAATTCGCTAACCTCTGGTGCGAATTTTTCCTCGATTTGAAGCGTTTTTCGAACGAAAATGCCCCGAGCGGCTTAACAATCCCACATCATCTTCAAGATCATCAAAATTACTACCAGAATTTGCGGTACAAAGGTTCGAAAATTTTCATAATTTTTCGAAAAACGTATTCAAAAACTCTCGAATTTAAGACAAGCGAAGAAAAAAATAGAATTATTGCTTCTAAGGGGGATTGTTCAAGATTTTCGTGTCCTGGATGCCTAAAAATTCGGAGACAAAACAGAAAATGAAGGGCGTTCCGCGCCGTCGGCTCATTCATTTTGCAAAACGTCCTCAAAATTGAATTTGGGCACGGCCATTTGGGGTCCGACAAGAGGCGTCATTTCTGCAGAACCATGTGATATGGGATGTTCTTGTCTTTCTATCTCTTTGGTTCTTTCTCTCTCTCGCTCTCTCTCTCTCTCTCTCTCTCTCTCTCTCTTCATCTCACATTGTACCACCACTACCAAAAATTCAAATCCTTTATTGCATTGGAATGAGAGGGAATGAAATGGTTGAAAGTTGAGGTCACAAAGCTCACCCGGTTTTTTTCATGGTAAAGGCACACCTTGAGGGGTACGGTATTCAAATTAGCAAAATGACAATAGAAAACATAAAATATGCCTATTCGCGGCTAGCCTGGCTCATCATCGAACCCCTTCGGCTGCGGGCGATTTCTTCGATTTCTCTGAAATTTGGTATTTACTGTGTTCACTTTTTCTCTCGTTTTCTCTCGCTCTCTCGCTGTCTCTCTCTCCTTTTCTGTCTCTCTCTCCCTCTCTCGCACCGCTCTCGTTATTTTTCTCTCTCTCGCTCTCTCTCTCGAAATCTCTTAATTACCCAAGGAACAGCTTACCGTATCAACGCATACGGTGTATGGTGAATAAGAGTCGTAAGAAGTAACGAAGCGGCCATCAGCCCTCCACACGTGACGAATAAATACTCGTAGCCCAGGACTGGCAACGCGTACTGGGAGAGGAGGGCTGTTACGACACCGGCAAGAGACTGAAATTCAAGGGTTTATATAAGCAGGTTCGCTGTTGTCTTACGATAGAAGCCTGAATCGCTCCGTACAGCAACCCAAAGTGTGTCCGTCCGAAGCATCGATGTGTAGCGAACGGCAGTAACGAATACGTACCACCGACGCAGGCAAACATTAGACAGATCTGAAAAATTCCGGATTGAGCGTCACTATCCCATTAAAAGACCGTACGGTAGAAGGCGAGTAGGGAGGTTAGGAATGCGCTACACTACGTTGTATACGTAGTAAGCCGAAACGCGCTGCTACGGAAGTGTACGGTGCATGTAGGTAGTACGGTACAATACGCTAGCAGCGCTGTGTTACGCCAGAGTATAGAAACGTACTATCAGCGACGGGAATGTACGCTAGCGTACGAAACTCGACGCAAGAGTACAATAACTTACGGATTGCAGGAGAATGCGGAAGAGAGAGATAGAAAGAGTGAGAGCTAGAGAGACAGAGAGAGAGAGAGAGGGCGACAGCAAGAGAAAGCGAAAGAGACAGAGAGCGAGAGGGAGAGAGAGCAAAAGAGCTACCTAGAGAGACAGAGAAAGAGGGAGAGAGAGACAGAGAAACAGAGTGACACAGAGAGAATACGTTAATATAAGTACGGTACGGACCTGTGCCATAAAAAGCCAGGCGTTGCCAACGGACTTGACGAGCGGAAGTAGCCACATCAACGCCGCTCCACAGGTGCACACGATGGCCATCGATTTTTGGTAGGACGTCTACAATCAAAAATTAATATTTGATGGCTTTGTTTTAATTATAAATTGCATTAAACGTACATAATCAGCCATCAGCCCCCAAAAGACTCGACTGGCGCAGTTGAAAACGGATGAGAACGAGCCGACGAGTGAGAGGAACAGATCGGAATGCACGAATTGTTGGCCGTACGCCTAAAAACCGATCATGGCCACGTCGTCGGAGTGTTTGCATTTGCCAAAAAACACTGCTAGATGGCCCCCAACATCGACAGACAGATAGATTTACCTGCAGAATTTTAGCTAGTGTAGCCTGCCTTCAAAGTACCTTGAAAACGGCAAAAAAGCTTTTTTGGAACGCCGAAACGAAACAAAATTATACCTTATACAACCCCGACGTCACTTGCACCCAAATAGCGTTAAAAGCCAGGGTAACGAAGAGCATCAAAAAGGTGGTGGAGCACAGCATTTCTCGGAGGCCAGACTCGGTGGGAGCGGAAGTGATGAGGGGCTCTTCTTCGACGGAGATTTCCTAAAAATCATTTAATTTGAGGCAAACAGTGCCTTAAAGCTCCAAATCCTGGTGTCACAATCCCTTTAAAAACTTCAAAAAATAAAAAATAGAGAAAATAATTTTACCTCTTCAGGATCTCCCAAAAGAGTGAGTCCAATTGTCTGGAAAACGCTGAACAGAATTCCCATCACGATGAAGACGCTAGGGACCTAGAAACGATAAGTTTACCTCTGATTGCAAGCGTCGGGAGGCCCGTCGCGTAGTTATCGATACCCAGTGGAGGCAGGGGGTCGGTTTTTGCGCTTCCCGCTCCCTTACAGTGACAAAGCGCGCTGCCAAAGTGGCTGTGAAGACAAAAACCGTTTTTCCAGCTGGCCTATGCATTTAAAGTGACTAGGCGGCGCGAAAATCGTCCATTGGCTTCAACTAGATCTCGACAGCTACACGACGCACCAAATGACGCTTGAAATCTTGCTGAAATAGCCTCTAAAACGTAATACTAGGCAGAAAACAAGCGTCATTTGGGGTGTCGTGTATTTGTCGAGACCTAGTCGACGCAAAGGGTCGATTCTGGGAGTCCCAGCAGCTTTAAACCATCACTAACCCTCTCCAACAGATCCTCCTGCGTGAAATAGCCCTCCCGGTTGACGGAGTAGTTTAACGGGTTGATGAAGGTCGTCTAAGTAAGAGACGTTGGATTCTAATAGAGAAAACGTCTCTTACCTGAAGAGGTGCCAAAATGAAAGCTCCGCAGCCGAAGCCGCCGACGATCATCCCACCAGCCAGACCGACGTTGTTGGGGAGCCACTGAAATCCGGCTTGGCTTGGGTTAAGCTTATGGTTTAGCTTATCCTCAGGCTTCTTAGGCTTAGGCCAAGGCTTCGACTGGGGCTTAGACATGAGCCTAGGCTTAGGCCGATGCCGCGGATTAGGCTTAGTCTTAGTCTTCGGCTTAGTCTTGGGCTTGGCTTACCCTCTGTGCTGTGCAGAGTACAGCATTGTAGGCAATGCCCTGGCCAAAGCTCATGATCACCCCGAACGTCACCATCAGCCACGCATAGGAGGTTTGGATTGACCAGTAGGTGGCGAAGCAGGCCGTGCTAAAAAAAGAAAATTGATGCTGTTGCTCAAAAATTTACAAAAATGTTTTTGATGGTGAAGATTCTTAACTTACGTATACATAAAACATCCAATACCAGCAGATATTCGGCCGTTCAGCTTACGCTCCAAGAAGCCACCGACGATCATGGCGAAGGGGATGCCGTCTGGAAGGAGCTTAAGCTTAGACTTCGCTTAGGTTTAGGCTTAGACTTAGGCTGAGGCTCAGGCTTAGGATTAGGCTTAGGCTTAGACTTAGGCTTATACTTAGGCTTAGGCTTAGGATTTGGCTTTGGCTTAGGCTTAGTGTTGGCTCTTCACATCATTTAGGCCCATCCCTCTCCTCTTTCGTCCCCCAGATATCCGGTTCCGCTCCCTTCCTCCTTACAGAAATGCCAGGTGGGGTTGCGTGTGTGTTAGTATGAGGGGGTGAAAGCAATCAAGTGGCCCAGCTACCCGCAGGTCCTGAGACGGCTTTATCGCCTCACTCCGGTCCCTAATTGGCATCACGAATGGGTTGCGGGAAATCGGATGGGAGGGGAATTCAATTTCTGGAGGAGTCGGAGGGTACGGTAGCTTCAGATGAGAGAAGTTTTAGGCGAGAGAAAGAGAGCGAAAGAACGAGAGGAAGAGAGCGAGAAAGAGAGAGAGAGAGAGAGAGAGAGAGAGAGAAAGCGCTAAAAACTCACTCATTACCGTTTGCAGCCATATCATATCCCCGGACGTCTTGTTTGGGTCGATTTGCCATCTGATATAGGAGACGAGGTACGGTAAAAGATTGCCTAAAATTAGCGTCGTTTTTAGGTTACTTGAAAACCAATTTAATTCTGAAATTTTTTGAAATTTTTTTGGCGGTGGGTAGCAATGTTCGCTATTGTTCCAAGGGATGAGGGTTCGAAGCACTTGGGCGGAAATTTTTTGCTTTTTGGTTTAAGAATTTCGACCTTTAAGAATGAATGTTTATTAATGTCAATTTTAGAATGATTTCCTCAACCCCTCCCTTCACAACTTCCAATTTCAAATTTTCCCCAGGTAGGTAGCGACTGGAGGCAATTTCGCGCGAAACCAAATTACCACCAGGTGCCCAACAGTTACCGTATCCCTCCCTTGGCCCTCCGCTTGGCTCCCATTTACGAGGCAGTGGCCGGGGATTTATGTCTCAATTCTCCCCGGTGGCACGCCATCCCATTCCCGGGCCCATACCCAAGCTTTATCGCCCTGTTTTCGGGATTAAGCCACTGGGATGTGGGAGTAGTTACATGCCGTAATTGCTGTAGTTTTGGACCCTGTAAAGCTGACGGCTAATGGAAATCGGCTAGAGGGGTATTTTTGAAATTAAAGGGATTTCGAAGGCATAAATTGAGCATTTTTTAACCTTGGCAATCGGCCAGTCCCAAATCTTGTCCGTTTTTACTGACAACTTCGTTATAAAAATCGATTTCTTGAGATTTTTGGGAGTTCTTTTACGTTTTTCTGTTGCTATCCCTATAAAGGTTGCGGAAACGCTTTTTAAAATTTTAAAGGGGCCGGGAGGCCAAGAAATAACGAAGGCTGATCTATATTTTTGCCTAGAACACCGATTTTCGGGATTAAAGAGACTGGGAAAGAAAAACGGAATTTTCTGAACTTTGGCAGTGCGCCAATTGCAAAATTGATTCGTTTACCGCCCCTACCACTTTAAACACTGCAGTGAATTCATTTTAAGTCATTTTAAAGGGACTTACAACTCAGGAACCGACCAAAAATGGCCTAGACTTGCTTTTCACTGGTTGCCGAAGCCTATAAAAATTTTCTCCCGCTTTTTTATGGGTTTTTTCAGGGTTGGCGTATTAATGATAGGCTTAAGGGGCATCAGAAAAAATGATACGCGCAATAATACAACTTACCAAACGTGTAGACGACGCCCAAACTCAGCATGCACAAAATCCCGGCCGCTAGCACGATGGGGGCCCGAAGTCGAGGGGGGATCAGCCGGACCACCCGGTCTTTTGTGTCCATCCCTTTAAAATACAAAAATTATTTTTATTGAATAAAGAGAGTAAAAAAGACGCCGATTTACAAAGAACAAAAATTATTAAATACCTTTATCAATCTGGAAAAAAAAGATTTTAAAAACTCAAAAATTTGGAAATGCGTAAAAAATATTTTAAAACTATAGTTCGATTAAATTTAGCCAATATTTTCTTGCAAAATCATGCAAAAGGCAAAAGGTGATCATTAACACGCAAAAATTTTGCGAATTTCTAAGCGTTTTAAAAATGAAAATAACGATCTAAATACCATTTTGACACTCAAAAATTGGATAAATTAGCTCAATAAACTTAGTTTATAGTAGTTAGTTTTTATATTAGCTCAATAAAACATTAATCAAAAAGTAGTTAAGAAAGTGCAATTTAGAACACAAAAACCTATCGTAATGACCCGGCAGAATTAATTCCCAGCTGGCCGGTCAGCTGTGGGCAAAGAGAGAAAGATGGGGAGGGGAAATGGACGTTCTTCAATCGATACGCCCAGCACAGACACTTTTTTCGGTTTGGATTGGATGACCAGTGTGTTTGGGAGGTGTTTGGATGTTTGGTTTGACATTGGTGTTTGGACCAGTGGACCCCGAAACTTGGAAATCAGACAAGAAAATTGAAATAGCATTAAAAAACAGAAAAGATTTCGTCAGATCGTACTTTAGAAGGGTTTGGCTTAGGCATAGGCTTAACCTTAGACTTAGCTTAGGCTTAGGCTTAGGATTAGGCTTAGGCTTAGGTTTGGCTTAAGCATGGGCTCAGGCTTAGATTTCCGCTTAGGCATAGACTTAGACTTTTCCCATAACGTAAAAAAAAAAACGTAAAAAGTCGCGGAGTGCACCCGAAATGACGGCAGACGGCCTCCCACCAACTCTCGTTATCAATTTAACCCAATCCTTTATCGAACCGCGGGGCCCATCGTCTGATTTGGGGCAGAAAAAGCAGAACTTTCCAGTGGTCGGTATCAGGATTTTTGGGTGCGGGATCAGAAAACGCCAGGAAAAGGCACGATCTCTGCTAGGTCAGGCTTAGGCTTTAGCGTAGGCCTAGGCTTAGGCTTAGGCTTAGGCTTAGGCATGGGTTTAGGCTTAGTCTTTGGCTAGCTTAAGCTTAGGCTTTGGCTTAGTTCAGCTTGCAAGTATTTCTTCGTTTCGTAGTATTTTTCAGACCCCTTACGACCTTCATAATAAAGAAAATAAGGTGCCGAATAGGCTGCAGAAAGCCATAACCCTTGATTCATCGTCGATTCCCCGCAAAATTGATTTACCCCCCCCGATTCCATCCCGCTCGGATACCATTCGGCAATAACAGAATTGACAAGGCCTGAGGGTACAGCATCTCTGAAAGGGCTGTCAATGAATCACATGTCAACGGTATCGAATAAATCGTCGGTTCTGTAGATGATCATGCCTTGATGAGGTCGGGCTGTAGGGGAAGAGCGCTGCTTACAAGGCAACGTTTTTTGGTGCCTACTAAGTTTCAAAGTGGCAGCAAGCATATTTCGTGCGATTCTGCTGCAGTGCACGCAGATCTCCAAAATCATGGCGCGTAATTTGCTACTGTAGTCTAATTGGGCTGTTTGGCAAAATGTCTGGTTGACAGACCATTTAAGGGAGTAATATCTGACTTTTTTTCATCGCCAGTGGGATACTGTAGCCGGTATTAACTTTTATCAAATTCCACGACTTCGCTAGTCCCTTGAAAAGCTACAAAAAACACGACGAGGGATTCAAAGCAAATATTGAGATTAGCGGGCTACGCCCGCTACCCCCGAATTCTTACCTCTTTCCAGTCCCTAAAGAGTTTATTTTAGAAGTTGTTTTCCCACACCCCTGGGCATCTCGTAGTCAGCATTATTTTTCATCAAGAATCCAGACCTTCACAATTCCTTGAAAAACCCTAAATATTTTCTCAACCCCCAGTCCAACCCAACCTCTTTAGGTCATTTTCGAGCTACCGTGAGGCCGGAGGTGGAAAAAGAAGTCACGTATATAGACATGATCATGGAGGGGGCAGAGGGCGTATATTTGAGTGGCTGTGGCCCGAACGATATGTTTGTGTAGGTTGCTGCCACCTGTCGGAGAAGAGGAGGAGAAGAGAAGGAAGGGCCCATAGAAGGGCAAATGGGAGACCTCCTCGGCAAATATTAGGGAGTTGGAATGGGGGTGAGAGGACATGAGAGAGATACATGATAGAGAGAGAGAGAGACCACTCCTCATCATCAACTGAACCATCGACAACACATCGAAACGGATACCCGGGGCTTGGAGGGATACGGTAGGTGAAGGTGGTGATGGAGGGCAGGCTGGCAAAGGTCCTTTGGGATTCAGCTCCTCGATCTTAATCTAGCCGGCCAACGCGAAGTCGAGGGGTGCTAGCAGATATTCTTTAGGAAACCGCGGGGTGGATGGAAAGCTAGCAGAGAGCCTTTAGGAACAGCTGCAATGGACCGATGACCAGAGAGAGAGAGAGAGAGAGAGAGAGAGAGAGAGAGAGAGAGAGAGAGAGAGAGAGAGAGAGAGAGTCGTCCAAATAGCTAGCAGAGGTTTTTAAGGAAAGGTTTCGTCTCATTCTCCTGCTAAATAACAAAAGCTTCGAATTGATCTTTCAAGCCTCCTAATCTCGGACCTAGCGATTCTAAGGCATGCTAGCAACGATTATTTAAGCCTCGATTCTCCTGCTCAATGACCGGGGGGACTAGCACCGATAATTTGGGATTTTCGGAAAACCTATTTTTTTTCGAGATGAGCGTCTAGATGCAAAAGGTACGCCGCTGCCATCGTCGTCGGTACGTCCGCCCGCCCGTCCGTCTCTCTCCTCTCTCGCTTTCTCTCGCTTGCTCCCTCTCTTTCCTGATAATCGTCAACTAGCAGAGACCATTTAGGATCCCCCACCAATGACTGACTGACCCGAAATGATGTGCGGGGGATGGGGTACAGTCAAACATTCAATGAGGGAGCATTGAGCCCCCCTCCCCGTTCTATTTGTCGTACATAAAGGAGGCAGAGATCTCGACCCCCGGGGAATTGGCATTTGGCACCTTTGAAAGGATTGGCAAATAGGGGCAGAGGAGGAGGGGTGGCGAATGCATGCACAGTCAGTCAGTCAGTCACTACGGGTCGATCCTACTGACACACAGCAGGGGACACCCACACCCACCCACACACTTACCGGTTAGGGGGTGACAATCAGGGGGTAGACAGCACTGGGATCATCTTCAATATCAACACTGGATGGGGTACGGTAGTGGGGTGAAAACGATGGATTAAGATTATGGGTGTCGCTCGCTCTCTCTCTCTCTCTCTCTAGCGTCCTCTCTCTCTCTGGATTTCGCTCGATCTCTCACACCCCTCTCTCTATCGTTCTGTCTCCCTCCCTCACTCTCTCGCTTTCTCTATCTCTTTATATCGCTCTCGAAACCTGCCGTTTTGCCTTAAAAAACTTCCGCGCCACGTCGGCTTGTTTGCCTCTTTTATGACGTTGTGCTCATCCTAAATTTTCTCTGCTAGATTTCTCTCTCTCACTCTCCCGCATATCCGAACGGCTACACCTCTTCCTCGGCTACACTATACACCTACGAACACCTCAACCTCCCCCTCGAAATCCCATCCCCCCGCAAGAGTTTGTCCTCCCAGATTGATTGGCGGGGATTGAGAGTAGGTAGTCCCCCGGGGTGGAATCGTGCCCTGAGGATACGACATTATTCCCCCCCCCCACCCCAAACAATGCATACAAGATGAGCACCAGGCAGGGTGTCCCACACCGATTCTCCCTGCTGGGTTGTGTCACCACCCCCTCTCAACCACTACCGCCAAAGACTGCAATAGGTAAGTAGCCGGGGTGAGGCTATGATTATTTCCCGTAACTGATTGTCGGTGCCTTTAGGGCCCCTTTAATTGTTGTGGGGCATCAGGTATGCGGCAGGGAATTTGGGATGAATGGAGAAGAAGCTTTTAGAGAAACTGATGGCTAGCTAGCAGAGATCCTTGAGGAGCCCTTTAATCTATGGCACGGAAGTCTTGGAAAATCTAGCTACAGTGCTTTCGGAAGAGACCTTGCAGGAGTACGACTTCTGACTTCACTTGTTCTTTAAAACTACAAATTCTGCCAAAATCACAGTTCTCGCTTCGACTTCCCTTTAAAAACATCACCAACTTTAAACAAAAAAATCGCATCTCCAGAGACTAAAAAGGGCAAACCAGCAGAGAGAATTGCGGAAATTACGGAGAAAGTCAAGTAAACTTGCAAAGATCCTTGTGGAATTCTTAACGCGATTAGATTGGCCTGCAGAGATTCTTGAGGAAATTGCAGTTTTTCGCGACTTCCTTTCGGAAATGGTAAACTGGCAGAGATCCTTGAGGAAATGGTGCACGGCTAGCGTGATCTAGCCGAGATCCATGTGGAAAATATATCAAGTTTGGGCAGATTCTTGACGGAAAGCCGTTTAGGCTTCATCGCCACCTTAAATTCTCAACCACCATTACCAACAACCCCCTGAAAGTCAATAGCGCTAGTCTTGAAGACGTCTCCCGCTGCGCTTCCCCAACAGGTGTGCCCTCCAACGGCACATCCAATGCTTCCCGCCTCGCTTCCTCAGGAAGTCAGAGGGCCCTGGGCCCTCCCTGACTACCCCCGATGGAAGGGGCCAGGTGCTGGCCGACGACGCCTCGACCGGAAGAAGGGACCCACCCTCCTCAAAACCCCCTCCTTCTTGGCTGCTTCACCCCTCCTCCTACAAACTACCGTACTCCGACGCCTCTTCCAGCACCTCTTCCACTCGGATAAGCTCTGCTCTGCATCGGGGTGGCTGGGGCAACAAGTCGAATCGAGGGCCCTCTTCAACACCTTAAAGCCGGGGCGCGGTTGGGCCCTTCTTTGGGCCCTTCTTTCGTGCTCTCTCTCTCACTCGATCTCTCTCTCTCTCTCTCTCTCTCTCTCTCTCTCTCTCGCTCTGGTCCTAACGTTTGAAGAAAACCTGAACGACGACGATCAAAGATGCGGCCCAATCATATCGTCAAGACTCGCCTTGATTTTCGATCCTCAAATGTGTTCTTACCCCTTAACTTTCCGATAATCGCCATAGATGCTTCTAAAGGGACTTAGAACCCAAATATTCTATTTAATTTGTACGCTCCGCTACGGTATTTCAGTACCGCCTACGCTACACTACGCCGTACACTACGGTAGGCTACGTTGCGACACTGTGCACCATGTACTCTACGCAAGGCTACATTTTACGTCTCCGTAGGCGCTACCGACGCTACGCTTCAGACTTTGCCATACGCGTTCCACTAGGCTACGATGTGCACGCTACGCGACAGTCTTTGCAGTGCACGCTACACTACGCTACGATGTACACTTGCACCACGTGACTATGCCCTAGTCACTTTCCTAAGCTCCTAAGCAACGTTGCGCTACGCTGAACACTACGGTATGCGTGAACCATAGTGTCCAGGAATTCACAAAATCCGGTTGAAAAAAGCATTTTCGCTGTCCAAAGTCTAATTGTACGCTATATTACGCTATTGGAATGGTAAGATTAGCGATAAAAAAATTCCTAAAAAGCCTAAAATCAGTTTCTTTACGATTTTTTTGCATGTAAAATCGGCACATCCGTAATTGGCGAACTTTGTCAGTATTTTTCAACGCGAAGACATCCCCATTTCGTAACAGCTCACAAGCCGACATGACGGCTTCTCGGGTTCGGCCAGGTGAAGTCGACGGGTCCCACGCACCGGCTCGTCAGCTCCCCCTCACCTGCTATTTTCCGAGGGAATCCCGGCTGATTCGCACCGATCTCAGCGCTGCACTAATTCGCGCGTAATTTGGAGTGTAGCGGAGCTGATTTGGGATGTGGATTTCGAAAATAACGATATTTCAGCCAGTCGAATTTTTTTCTAATGCGTAAAAATAGCTTTAAGACATTCTGCAATTTTTGTAGCTTTGACTCTCGAGTGTCTGTAAAGGACCGTAGAGGTTTGAACTTCTCTAGCTCTCTATCTAGCCTGCTCTCGCGTTGTCTTGATCTCTCTTTATCTTTAGCTATTTTCTCGCTCTCTCTCTCTCTCGCTTCCTCTCTCCCCCCCCCACTCTTTTAGTTTCCTGCCACCCCCATTTCCTTTAAACTCAACATTTTCCGTAATCCCAACGGCCATGTTGTTTATTGTTCTACGGCTCCTTCCAGGTGTGTCTCGTATCAAATGACTTCCGTCCTTCCTGGGTCCCATGCCCATCTTGGCCCCCACCAATTAGCCGTTAGAGGGGGAAGTGGTGGAGGTGGAATCTTGGCCGCTCGAGCGGCTCCTTATTGCACCTGCCAATGGGAGAGAGAGCGAGAAAGAGAGAGAGAGAGAGTGAATGAGAGAGAGAGAGTGAGAGAAAGTGAATGAGAGAGTGAGGCTAAGTGGGCACCGGCTAGTTGTGTGTGCTGGGAGCATAACCTGGAGGGGTAGATAGTTGACAGCCGAGACTGGATAGGATCACGTTTAGGTCAGGATAAAAAGCCTTCGTTATATGTCGTAATCGTTTTAAAGAGACATAGAAAAGTTAGCTAGCCGAAGAGTGCTGCAACATCCAGGTTAAGAAGCGGGCTTCATAATGAGGCTTAACCTTAGCTTGGGTTTAGGCTTAGGTTTGGCTTAGGCTTAGGACTTAGGATTAGCTTAGGCATAGACCTAGGCTTAGGCTTGGGCTTCGGCTTAGACTTATACTTAGGCTTAAGCTAAGGTTGGGCTTGGGATTAGGGTTAAGCTTAGACTTAAGCTTAGGCGTAGCTTTGAGTAAAACTCCCCAAATCCAATTAATCAATGAAGCAACCCAAGTTCACCATGAAACCCAAAAGACCAAGGATCCACCGGATCCACTACTGGGATGGCGAGGATTGGCTGAGACGTCTCTTGGCGATGGGCGGGGCCTCCTCTGGGTCCCAAAGAGGGATGGCCCATTTGCCGCTCGCTATCTCTGCCGGCTCTCTATTCTCTCGTTCTCTCAGGTGGTGAGGATGGGCTGTGTCTCTCCCTCTTCTTCTTCTTGTTCTTCTTCTTCGCTTCTACCCGCCCCATCCACCCGGCAACCACCACAGCACACAGACACCCCCCGCCATCCTGTCCCTCCTCCTCCCCTTCACCCCGGCCATCCTCGCCTACTGTAGCCCAGGGTGGCAGCATCGGGAGCATCTTTTTATGGGCTTTTCGAGGGTTTTGGAGCGATCCTCAGAACTTTGGAACAACGATTTCGATGTTCTGCGCGCTGTTCATTTGGACTTCTGGTTTTTTTATGGCACTAAGAGTTCCCAGCCTGCAATGGCTCCTGAATAGTTTCCAAGCCAATCCCTGAACCTGTAAATAACCTATCTTACAAAACTCCTATATTTTTCAACCCGCCTTTCAGCTTTCCTTCAATTAATCTCTTCACCGGCGCTTTAGAGCTGTTGTCGTTTTTTTTTTCTCAGCTTTACCTGGTTTTCGGCTTGTAGATCAATTTCCTGGTTTTTCGGAATTCATTGCTTCTAGAAACCGTCTACAGCAATTCCTTAGGCGTTGAATTCGTCGATTTTCAAATTTTACACCTTTTCTCTGAACCACAGACCAGTTTACTCGGTTTTCCGTTTGCCCACCTGCCTTCAATGGCCCTTTAAACGGCTTTTCCATTTCTTAGTCAGTTTCTCGCTTTTTTTTCTCAGATAGATTACGTTCATTTTGAGCTACAATTCCAAACTTTTCGATTGAACGTCTTATCATTAATCCGTGGTCTGCCATTACGCTTTTACGTTTTTTGTTTTTCAAAATGTTTGTCGCTCAAACTTTCCTCTTCCTCATTTCTCTTAAATTTCCAGTGCCCTCCTCGCCTCCCAGCGAGCCGGCCATGAGCATAGATGCCGAATTTTTGCGGAGCGTCGAGGTGGGTGATTCCGGCCGGAAACCTCAAAAAACCACTCCAAAATCAAATGAGTTTCCGATTCTTAGGTTCGAGCCGAGCCGGGTGCTGACAACGCTTTGTGGACACTCGGGACCCTGCCCCACGGCAAGCTCATTGGGCTTATCGATCGGGTGGGTGGCTGAAGTTTTTTCGGCTTTTCCTAGGCTTAAGATTTTTCAAAAACATCTCATTAATGCTTGTCCTTATTTCCATTTCTCTCTCTCGCTCTCTCGCACTCTCGCTCTCCCTCTCTCCGTCACTCCCTCTGCTTTTCGTTCTCTCTCTCGTTCGTTACTTCACTACGATTCCTTAGCTGATTTTGTCTCTCTTTCTCTCTCACTCTCTCTTCCTGTCGTAAACAGTACTATCCGACACACCAGCTTAATTCGACTCAAAAATTCCGCATCCCCGATTCTGAAAGATTCCCCTGTACGATTGACGTTCAGTCCCCTGTCAGGTTTAGAATAATAATTGCCGGGATCCCCCTCCCCCCAAATTGTCTTCAGCCACCGAAAAAACTGTATTTCCGGGGGCCATCTGTTGGACAGGGTCAATTATGTTAAAGGAAGCGGGCCAGCAGTTCGATTTGGTTTCTCTCTTTCTCTCACGCTTTCTCTCTCACTCTTTTGCTCTCTATCTCTCTCTCTATCTCTCGCTTCAGCCAGACAGACTCACTTTAGCGTTTTTGTTCATGTTACTATCGCGTTAAAGCTAAATTCTTGCCTTCACTCGTCCTTTAAAAGCTTTTTCTCTGCGCTCTCTTCAGCTTCTGCACTTTTTATCTCGCCTTCAATACGAAATTTTAGGCGTTTTCCAACTTTAGGAAGGGCTTAGGCTTCGGTTAGGCTTAGGCCTAGAATATTCTTGGCTTCCACATCCCTTTAAGTCCCTCTAAAACTCGTGACATGTCCGAAAATAGCTTCGTCATGTTCCAAACCCCAAAACGTCACGCCTTCTCGAAAAGGTGAATCCTATTCTGGTCCGCTGAAACGAGCTTGTTTTGCCCGTCAAGAGTACGGTTGCGTAGTGTGTATTTGCGGGGAGGGAATGGGATCATGAGACACCCACGATCTGCCGTAAATTGGATTGGCGCGGAGGGGGAGATGGGTTCACCTAGAGGGGGTACGGTAATTTCCTCGGGGTACATCTTAATGCCACGGTGGTGCTAATGGGCAATTAGAGAGAGAGAGAGAGAGAGAGAGAGAGAAAGAGAGACCGAGCGATAACCTTACATAATCTCTTCCCAGGCACTGGCTACCGTACCCATCCCATCCCCGAACATCGAGCCCGGAGGGGGCATCAATAAGATGGGCCATTGGATGGGGCCCGGCTAGGTGCCCATCCAGAGGGCCCGGTCCAGGGCCCTCCAGGTGGGCCCTCTTCCGCCCAATAGAGGGCCCAATAGCGGCCCAGTGGGTCCTAGCTGGGGCTGAAAGATGATCCTCACAGCGGATGGGAGGGGAAGAGGATACCGTAGACGCATCCTCTCCATTGCCTCCTCCGGCAGAGGAGGCTTCAGCAGAGTCATTAGTGGCCCGGTTGAATCCTGAAGGGACTGGGACAGAGAGTGAGGGAGGGAGCGCTACAGAAGAAGCTAATTCTTTTTTTTTTCGTCCCTCCCGGCATAATTTCTACATCTTCCTTTACCTGTCACGACCCCTTTAAAAATCGAAACTTCCTTGATATTTTTTATGGAAATTTTTTTCAGGACGCCGGAAACGACCCAAACGCGTTGCTGATCCTCAACCTCATCAAGGAGAGCGACTCGGAGTCGGCGGCGAATGTGCACGTGAAATCGATTGGTTCTAAGGTGGGTGAGTGGTTGGGCTTAGGCTTAGGCTTAGGCTTAGGCTTAGACTTTAGTAAACATAGCTCGAACCTCCTCCTTTTCCGAAAAACCGGGCCTGGCTTCACGAGCTGGGTGTTCGGGTTAGGGGTAGGGCTATGGCGCCCCCATCCGCTATTTGCTCGAGGTTGGAAGAATGGCTGGCTGGCGGTTGGATGGGGCCCAGGGAGGGCCCACAATGCCCGGATGCGCTGACAGCTCCGGTGCACCCCTCCCAACACAGCTAGAACGATGGCCTTCTGGGCCCATCTGCATCTCTGGGTCTCGCGGATTCTTATGCTCTCTCGGCGAGCAGCTAGCCCTTCTTTCTGTTTGCCCCCTGCCAAGCTCAGGGGCCCATCTTTTCGAATCGGATTGATGTTGGTGATGAGGAGCCCTGGGGATCGCACAATCAGGGATGAACACCTGGGAAATGGGGTGTCACTATCCCTTTAAAGCGAGAGAGAGTGCGAGAGAAAGACAAAGCATTTTTCAGACCTTCCTCCAAACGTCTCGGCCTGTAAAAGCCGGAGAAAAGCTGCTAGCCAATCGCTTCACCGACCAGCTTAGCCAGCTCGAGGAGGCCGAGGAGGACAGCGAGAAGGTGGGTTTGAAAAATCTGAAAATTTGCTTTGCGATTTTTAGATGGAGGAGCTCGACGTGGAGGAGGACGACGAGATGGATGGGGTGCACGATGAGGAGTAAGTTTTGGATTAGGTTTACGCTACACTCGTATAATTCCCTTTTTCTCGTCTCGCGCTTCATTAGGCTAATCGGAAAAGGGAGCTTGACCCCTCAAGAGGGAGTGAGAGAGATGCGAAACCGGTAGCGCGATGACCCGATTGAGGAGCAGCTTGAGGATCTTGAGGGGAAAAGAGGCTGACGTTGGAAAAACAAAAAAGCTGTGAAAGCCGGCTATCTATCTGGGACAATCTGCGGGCGCTTCGAACTCACACCTCCGGCCCATTTCCCTAAATTATGCGCTAGTTACCGTAGTCGCTCTGGTTTTTTTTTGACAAAATACAGGAATCTCTGAATTTTCAGACGGTCTACCCAATCTTCCGTCGAGCCGGGCGAGATCCGAGATTTTGGAGAAGGTAGGTGGCTTTAAAAACTCGAGTTTAATAAATTTACATTGGTGGGGTACGGTAGTTGACGTCACTTTTTAGGCTATCACGCATCTCAACACAAATGTACTGTGTGCCCGAAGAGCTTCTCGAGCGCTAGGTAAGTCCAAGAACATAGATTCTTCAGGAAAATGCAGACGCAGCGATTCTTTAGGAAATGACCGGCTAGCAGGGTTTCTTTAGGAAGTTCATAACCCCAACTTTCCAGCGGTCTTAAACAACACTCCCACATCCACTGCAGCTCGAAGCCCTTCCGCTGCCATATTTGCAATAAGGTATCAGGTTTTTGGATTTTTTTCAGGCGATTAATTTTTGTTTCAGGCATATACCCAATTCTCGAATCTGTGCCGTCATCGTCGGGTCCATTTGAGCACCACCAAGGAGGGCTGGAGGTGTCCGAGCTGTACGCAGCAGTTCCCGAATCACGGGGCTTTGTCGAAGCATCGGTACGTATCTCGCGCCCTCTCTCTCCCTCTCACTCTCTCTCACGCTCTCTCTCGCGCTCTCTCTCTCTCTCTCTACCTCCCCATTCCAGGGCCACTTGCGGTATGATCGGCGCCGAGTCGAAACCTCCAATGATGTCCCCAATGCTGCCCATTTACTGGCAATACCTTTGGCAGGTAGACTACATTAATATACTACTTACATTAATAATAATAATAATAATTTATTCAACACTAAGGTTTCAATGAGAAACGCTTAAAAGTGAGGGAATATGGTAGGAAAAACGAGAAAGAGGAAAAAAAATGGAATAGCAAGAAAGAAAAAAGTCAATAATGATGAGGAAAGGGGCATGGTTATATAAAGGTTAAGATAGTACATAATCCATTGGAATGAGTTTGGCTATAGATTTACGAAAACTTTCACATGTTGAAGCAGAGACGATTGAGGGGGGGAGGGAATTCCAGGTTGAGCAGGTTCTTGAGCTAAAAAAGGCTTTGTGGTAGGATTTTTTAGACGATATTAGAGGTCGTAGTTTGTAGGGGAGGCCACGAGTGGAAGAAGCATCCTACTATATATAAAAAAATAGTGTTTGTGTGTGTGTGTGTGTGTGTGTGTGCCACTTTGCATCCACTTCCGTCTGTCTGTCCGGAGAATATCTCAATAGGGGAGGAATTTTAACTTATGTATGATACGTCATTAGGTGCGTAATGGCCTGGAGATGCCTGCACGCCCATCAGATTTAACAAAATCACCTATTTTCGACATTAAATTTAAGTTTTTGTGAAAACTTCTTTGTTAAGCATAATTAGCATTGACCGGAAGTGGGGATTGGACTACATAAGGGGCAGGAGAGGTTGTTTTTCATTTTTTTGTCATCTGAATTTAGGACAGTTATGCAAAGTGAAGGATAAAATGGGGTCAGACGGGGCCAGGGTTGAAAAGTCGCGAAGCGGCTTTTCAACCCTGGTTGGTACTAAAAAATGAGCTAGTAGAAACATTAGAAGAGTATTTATGGAGTTTATAAAGGAAGGAATAGTCTGTTACTACTGCGCACATTGCGTACATTGTATTGTACAGTACATTACGCGGGCGTATCTGCAATGGCGCTAAGATACCCTTTTAGCAACTCCAACTCACCAATTTCCCTCCTATGCCTACGGTGGCTCCTCCGCAACACACGCACGCGTTGCCCCAATTGACGCCTACTGATTTTAGCCTCGATCGATTGTTGAAGCCGATTGGGTGGGTTTAATCTGATTTTAAAGAATCTCTGGTAGCCTGCCCTGATCTAAAGAAAATTAGCCAGCTTACTTTCGAATTCGAGGCTGTTGGCTGTTCCCTGCTAACCTGCCATTTCCTTAAGAATCCCTGCTAGCCTGCCCTTTCATAAAGAAGACCTCAATCTCAGTGTCAATCGCTTTCCCCAACAATCACCGCTAGCCCCCTCTTGTCTCCTCAAGTCATCCCGTCAATCCGTTGATCCATTCGAGTGACTGGCGGCTCCTTGGGTCCTTCTGTTGGGCCCTCTACCTAGGGTCCTAAGGGCAATCATGCCCTTATAGCCCCCTCTAATTGGTGGGGTAAATATTGTGGTAGAAGGGGTCGGCTGCCCCCTGCTCCTCAAATGGGTGTTTATGAAGCGTATTATCCATTGCGGCAGGCTTTGCCCATTTCAGGTCATTGTCGCTTTAGGACCCCCTCCCCCCAAATTGTTGCCCAAGGACCCCCTTTGAGGGAATGGTTCCCGCTTTCCGGGACGCTCCTCGGGACGCCACACAGATTAGGGGGTGTCTCAAGGGGTGGTTGAGGAGCGATACCGTAACCCGGTGGGGTGGAACGAACAACGGGGTACAGTAACGAGCGGAGATGCTAGCAATTATTTTTGAGTGCGATTTCATGAAGCCTAGGCAAACGAGCAGAGATTCTTTAGTATAGGGCAGGTTAGCAGAGTTTTTTGGGGGAAAGCCAGGCTAGTAAAATTTTCTAGACTAAACTAGGCTAACAGAGATTCTTTAGGAAACGACAGGCTAGCAGAGATTCTTGGGGAAAGGTAGGCTAGCAGCGATTCTTTAAGAAAAGCAACTTCAGCAAACCCGTGGTTTCTGCAAAGCTTGCTTTTCGGATAATTGCGTTTTCAAACCCATGGCAAGCTAGCAAAGACCCTTCAGGCTCCCATTTCCACCCCCAAAAGATGTTCCCCATCCCATCCCGCTAATTATCCCGCATTGCCGGTCAAAAATTCAGGAGGGTAGCATCCGAGATTCGTATAATTCATCCGCCAAGATGGGTGCTCCCCCATAATTTGATGACCCTAGCGCCACAAAAAGTGGGTCTTGGCCTCGGGGTGTGGGCCAAAAACGAGGGGCCCAGCGACCCAAAAAGGGGGCAAAACGCCGGCCCTGAAAAGGCCGGAAGCTACGCGATGCGCCTGGGGACAATTACCTCTTCTCGAGGAGCAAGAGGGACCTTGGGCCCTTCCGGACATTTTCGGGGCCAGGGAGGGGCCAACCGCCAACAGGTGTTTCGATATTAATGGCATTTGAAAAAGGGGGGATGGGAGAGAGAGAGAGAGAGAGAGAGAGAGAGAGAGAGAGAGAGAAAGAGAGAGCGAGAGAGAGATAATTGACCTGTCCATCGGGACTCGCCCCCCTAATATGCATAGATTGGTGTAGTGGGGATTGACAGACAATGGGGTACAACAGGGGTGGGGGGGGGTGGGACAATTCGGGGGATTTGTCGGGACCGGGAAAGGGGTTCCTAACAGGTTTCTGCTAGCTTGCCTAGCTATTTCTGGGTAGTGCACTAATAAGGGCTCACTTTTATAAGTTCGGGTGAGAGAGAGAGAAAGAAAGAGAGAGAGGGAGAGTGAGAGAGAGAGCTCGAAGCTCAAAAACCACTCCTAAACTCGATATTCCAGAAAATCCGACGGCAAGAGTTCGCCCTCCCCCTCCGCCTCCGAGCACGAACGAGGCAGTCCCATCGACCTGACGGTCAAGGTATCGAAATACCTACCGTATCCTAAGTTCGGCTGTCTTTTAGAAAACCCCAAACTCTGATGGCGGCGAGAGCAATTCGGACTCGGGGAATGAGGATGACAATGCGCATACGGACGGTAAGTTTTGAAGCTTGAAGAAAGAGAGCGAGAGAGAGAGAACCAGCGAGTGAGAGAGAGCTATCAAAAAATTTATCATCTTTAGCCTCACCCGCCCGTGATGATCCCTCTCCCGTTGCGTCGATTACAGTACCTCCACCTCCTCTACTCCCCCGATTCGGATCTGGTGCTCCCTCATCTGCGATGCCGCCCTTTGGCCCTCCTTCTCTGTTTCCGATTTTATCTGTAAGTATGATTAAAGCGCATTTTGAGTCGTAGCCTCAAAAGGTGTCATCAGTGCGCAGATTTCTAGCCACCAGACTGAGATTGAGTCGGGCCTTCTTACTCCCTTTAAACTTTTACCACTTTCAGCGAGCCTTCCCCTACCCGTCGGCCGGTTTCCCGGGTCACTCGAGCACGAGCCTGATGCTCCCGAAAGGGGCCAAGGACCGGTATACGTGCAAATTCTGCCAGAAGGTCTTCCCACGATCCGCGAATTTGACTCGGCATCTGAGGACGCATACCGGGGAGCAGCCTTACAAGGTGAGGAGCAGGAACTTTACATTTTTTGCTAGCGGGCAGGCAAGCAGAAATCATTTTGGAAAAGCCGAGCCATTAATGCATCGACGTGATTGTTTCGCTAAATAGCAAACTAGCGGGAATGCTTAAGGAATTATCATAACGTTGCTATCGTTAAACCCAGCGAACCCGGCGTTTGATAGGAGGGCAGCCTAGCATAGGTCCTTTGCGGATTTTAAATCCAATTAACGCATCCTAGTCTATGATTGGCAGAAGGCAAGCTAGCAGAGAACCTTGCCGAAATCTATCTCATCATTAGCATTCATAATCAACCGAAATAATCCCCCAAAATGAAGGGTCATCACGTTGCCCAATTCACCTGCCCAAATGGATATAGGGCAATTGAGTGGCGAGTGAAAGAGAGGGAAAGCGAGGGAGAGAAAGAGCGAGTGAGAGAGAGAGAGAGCTGGAGAGCCAGCTTATGCAATTGAAAGGGCCATAGGACCCAGTTGGGGGCCCTAGGGCCCCAAACTAGGGGCCCAGTCATAAGCCCTCCAGTCGGGAGTGAAGGTCAATATTATTGGCAGCTCATCCGGGGGCCCTTGCGCAATGCAGGTGCGCCAAATTGAGCTGGATCCGGTGGGGGTGAAGGCAGTGGTAATTTGCGGATATTTGGGGTATTCGTCGGAGCAGGGGGGTTGATGAGGGGCATGAAGCTGAAAAATCTGGTAAAAATCGAGGGGTTGACGAGGAAAAGTTCAACTTTGGGGAGTAGAGAGAGGGAGCATGAGAGAGAGAGCGAGAGAGAGAGAGAGAGAGAGAAAGAATATGGACCAATTTATGCTAATTCTAGTGTCAACATTGCGAGCGCTCATTCTCCATCTCCTCAAATCTTCAACGACACGTCCGGAATATTCATAACAAGGTACGGTAGATGAAAGCTACGCTTAGGGTTCGGCTTAGGCTTATGCCTAGGCTTAGGCTTAGGCTTGGCTTAGGCTTATGCTTAACCTCTCGCTTGCCAGTCCCTCTAAAATCCCCGAAACGATACCTTTACAGTTATAGGAGCGCCCCTTCCGCTGTAATCTATGTGATCGATGCTTCGGCCAACAAACGAACCTCGATCGCCACCTGAAAAAGCACGACGAGTGGGCCACTTCCGCTTTTCCGGACGATTCTCAGGACGAGGATGAGGATTGACAGTTTGCGTACCGTATACCATAATACTTTCCAATGCCATATCCCCCATTCCAGTCAGTCGATAAAATTCTACATAATTTTTAGGGCAACGAGAAGCCAGGAATTAAATTGGTTAAATCATGGCTTTCCGACCCCTTTAAATTGCCGACATGGCTTGTCAGAATTTTTGAACGATCTAAATTCTTAATAACATTTTTTACTTCCTACCCCCATATTCCCACAGATCCTCATTGGCATCTCAGTGTATTTTTCAGTATTTTTGTATTCGTGTATTCATTGTAGTCCGTTTTCCCGCACCTCGAATACCGTATTCGAACAGACGCCTGTGATTTTTGCAGTTCTTTGGAAAGACTCGGAACTGACCTCCGATTTTATGCTAATTCTTCGATTGCATATTGTGACTCTGTGCCAACGAATAAATTGTGTGCCATTTAATGCTGAAATTGCGCAGAAATTCAGGTAAGCTAGCAGGCTATGGCAGGCTAGCAGAGATTCTTTAGGAAAGGGCAGACTAGCAGAGATTCTTTAGGAAAGGGCAGTCTAGCAGAGATCCTTGAGAAGTGTTTAATCAAGTCAGCCAGCAGTATTCAATAACTTTATCCAAAAACGCCTCAATACATACACGTGTAAAAATCTGGACCCCTAAATAACACTCTATGTACAGTAGTGGAAACCGGAAACAATTTAAGGAGCTAAAAAGCATAAAAATTTCAATATTTTGATTAAAATCGACAACGTGGACCCTGATCAGTGATACAGCATAAAAATGAGAACAATTGGGAGGGCTAAAGCGAGCGGTTACCCAGAGAAACAAGCGGCTAAATACAGTACACCACCAGAAGAGATCAGAATTTGTCGAGCTTGTCGGCGAGCACGAGCAGCTTTTGGTTTTTGCGGAATTGGCGCTCCTCGATGATGCGCTGGGGGTGGACTTTGATGCGCTGGACGGTGTGCAGCTCTTTTACGCCGAATGTGATCTGAAAAATGATAAATTGGTCGGGCTATCGATTTCCGCAAGAAATTCTGCTAGTTTGTCATGCTTGTCCGTGATTCTTGAAAATTTTCCACTCCTCAAGAATTTCTGCTAGCTTGTTTAAGCATTTCTCTCGCCTTTCCCTCGCTTTCGCTCTCGCTCTCTCTCTCTCTCTCTCTCTCTCTCTCTCTCTCTCTCTTCTCTCTCTCTCTCTCTTGCTCTCCTCACCTTCATCTCCGGAAACTCAAAATAAGCCAAGAAGTAGAACATCGAGTTGTAGGTGACCAGCGAGTACTCGGCCATCGAAAATGCGTAGTAGGCTAAAAAACCATAATATAGAATTACACTTCAGTGCCGTCACCATCCCTTTAAAACCCACACAACTCACCGTATTCATTGCACGTCGCCATAAAATACGGATAGGTGACGGCGGTGGACAAGGAGACGATCATTCCGGTGATGAACAGAATCAGCTTCAGGCGCCAGGTCCGCTCGTGCTAAATTTGGACCTCGTAGGATACGGTGGATGGGCGTACCATAGCATTGCTTTTCCGCACCCTGCTGAAATGGTGGAGCAGGACGCTGAAGAGCATGTTGAAGTTGAACGGGATCAGCCACACGGCGTATGAGACGCAGTGCAGCACTGGAAAAGGAGGTTAAAATGGTCTCACATTCAAGAATAAAGATTTTGCGACAAAAACGAGGCATGGACTCGGAATCAGCGCAAAAACTGGTCTAGAAAGTGTTTGCTTAGGCTTAGGCTTAGGCTTAGGCTTAGGCTTAGGCTTAGGCTTAGGTTAGGCTTAGGCTTAGGCTTAGGCTTAGGCTTAGGCTTAGGCTTAGGCTTGGACTTGGGCTTGGGCTTTCGATAAACCCTTGAAAAAATATCTAGACCAAAATTTTGCGCTGACTCTCAATCTGATGTTAGTTTTCGGTTTTGGCCTGAATTTCCATCATCAAGACCACTCTTAGGAACTCACCAAAAAGGTTAATATCCAGCACAGTAACCGAGACAAGTCCGACCGGCTCGAGGATCATCGTCACCATGAAGCAGTTCAGCACCCAACGATAGCTGAAGTGTCGCGGGGAGTTGCCGAGGAAGACGCGGCGGTAGAGCTAAAAATACTTTTTAATCGCGAAAAGCTGTCTAACAGTGACTTTTTGGAAAGGGCAGGCTAACAGAGACTTTTTAGAGAAGAGTTGAACTCACCACAACAAAGAGGAACCTTGCCGGAAAGTGGGCGATGACGATGAACATCCAGATATACCTCTGCGGGGACCAGACGCCGATCGTGTAGGAGATTGGGGGAATATAACTGAAAATTAAACTTGGTTTAACTTAGTTGCGGTTGGTCAATTGATAGAAAATGTGTTTTTCAGGAAAGGGACCGGTTCGACCTTGAAAAAAAATTATTTTTGCTCTACGAGGTCTGATATTTGTGTTTGTGTAAAAACCGCCCACCTATGCGTGCCATTGCAATTTCCGATCGATTGAAACTCCATAATGTTTTCTTGGAATTGGAAAATGTACGTCCAGGCGACGCAGAAGTAGCAGCCGACGCCGGGAAGGAGGGCGCCGATCAGGAACACGTTACGCACTGAAAAACAGGCGTGGAGCTGAGGTATTAGGCTTAGGCTTAAGCCTAAGTTCAAGCTTAAACTTAGGCTTAGGATAGTCTTCTCTTCCACGTACCTTTAATCGCTTTTGCCAGCACATCCTCCTCGGTCTGGATGACGATCTCCTCCCCAGAGTCGGAGCTTTGCAGCGAGCAGGCGCTCGAGCTCTTCACCGAGCCCACGCCCACCGTCATCGCCTCGTGAGCTAAAATTTGCATGATGAAGGGGCAAGAAGACAACGTTGTGATCCTCTGAACAACTCCGATCTCCGGGGCACTAATAAATGACGGGCAAGAGGGCATGTGTAAGCCCGTCGCGCGCGTAAAACTAGGGAAAATAAACCGTCAAGATTGTTAGTGTGATATTGGGCATGGTTCTCTCTTTTTCTCTCTCTCTCTCTCTCTCTCGCCCACTCTCCCCTCGTCATTTTCAACTTCTTAGGGAGTTCTGGAAGTGCGAGGAAGTCGCGTCTGCAGATTTGTTTCGCCAAAGCTCAAGCACTGTAATAGGGACATTTTTTAGCGATAAGAAAATCGCTAAACATTGGAGTGCGGACACGCCTGTTTACGGAATTACTGTAGAGAGATGTCTGGAAAATAAGATAAAAGTTTTCTGGGGTTCTGGAACTACTTTCTATGATAGAGGGAGAGCGAGAGAGTGAGAAAGATTAATTTACGATTGACGTAGATTTACGCATTAATAACACCGGACGCACTTTTGATTAAAAAAAAACAAAACCTACAGGGTACAACATTTTACTGATCCACAAAAAGCGCCAAAAAGCATCAATATTAATCCTCAAAATTATGACATGCTAGAAAATCCTGTCAAATAAAATTTTCCTGACCAAACGATTATCGGTACAGGGAGTTCCCCCAAATAAATCCCCAATTTCTATCGTTACAATTTGGGGAAATGGGTGAACCCTTTCCGAAATGTCTCGATCATCTCGGCTCCCCAATGGGGATGACCTCCAGAAAAAATGGATGGACCAACGTTCCAAACTCGCTACATGTTGATATGATCTGGGCGAACAACAGGGAAATATTTATGACGAGTTGTTGCTCCTCAAAAAATGGGCTTAAGCTTAGGCTTGAGATTGGGATTGGGCTTGGGCTTGGGCTTGGGCTTAGGTTATACTTATGCTTAGGCTTAAGTTTAGGCTGAAGCTTAGGCTTACGCAGCCTTTGGCCTAGGCTTAGGCTGTGGCTTAGCTTTAAGCTTGGGCTCGGACCAACTATATTCTCATCTTAAAAAGTGTAAATTACCTACATAGCGTCATTTTCTTCAGCTCTGCCGCCAAAATTGAATAGAAACTCCCGAAAAACTGTCGGAGAGTTGAAATTGAATAATTTGTTTGGGCGGCTGAGGGACGTTTTGGCAATTGAGTGGTGATTCGAGCTTTTAATTGAAAACCGGGTGACGCATTTCGTTGATGAACCGGGAACCGGACGGTGCCGGAAATGACAAAAATAGGTGCTTCCTTATTGGGCTGAATCATTCCCAAATCCGTCAATAGTCTATTTAAGGAAAAGCATTGCGGGAATTACCAATTAAGTACCAAAGCATAGTTTTTTGGTGTCCGGAGGCGAAAAAACTTTCCGAGGCTGAAAGTTTTGCCGCCTATATCGAACCAAAAGATACAGATCTGTTTTGCCCATTCTCACCTCGCCCGCCCATTATTATCAGATGGGTTTCCCGAGTTTAGGAAAATTTTTCAAGGGGCGAAAAATTGGGGGAGGGGGGTAGACAATAGGGGCACCGGGAAACGGACAGTCGCGGAAAGATAGGACTGTCAATAGGCGTGTGTGGAATGGAAGGGATGACCTGGGTTCTCCTGTTCTTTTCATACCGTCTAAACAAGCCTGGTGGCATTTTGCGCCAGTTCTCTCTCTCTCTCTCTCGCTCTCTCTCACTCCCGCTCTCTCTCTCTCTTTCTCCCCCTTCTCTCTTCCAAAAGAACAATAAGATCTCGCGTGTTTTTCCTGCCCTCGGGCAATTTTTGCAGATTATTTCTCGAGATTACGGGCCGAAATTTGAAATTTGGGCCTGGAAAATGCCTGATTTGCATAATATGAGTAGCTGATTTGCATATGTGCAAAATCACCTTAAAAATGGGGAAAAATCTTTCGAAAAAGTTCTGTTTGGCCTGGGAATTTTCAAAGAGGATTTTGTGCGCTTATTCGCTTAAAATGTTTCCTGAATTAGAATGTTTTAAGAAAAACAAATTTAGAACTAGAATAAAATTAAAAAAAGATTCCTAAGAACCGATTTAAGTGGTGAAAATTATCGTGACAAAAGCCTGATGTGAATTAGGATTCGGTCGGTGTTTTAGGTTTAGGCTTAGATTTAGGCTTGAACTTAGGCTTCTAAGCTTGCGCTTAGGTTTAAGCTTTTTTGGGCTTTGCATGCAAAATGGAAAATAAATTCCTGCCCTCTCCACCCCCCGAATAATAACATGGCAAACCGGGAGTGGTAGTGGTGTGGCAGGGTGGCAAAGTGGAATACTCACCCGCCGTACACCCAGCCACACAGAATGGAAAATACGAACCGGAAAATGAGCAGCAACCCTTGGCTGCGACTCCACAGCGCTTTTCCGTCCGGGAAGCCCCGGGTCGGTTTTGGGAATGTTTTTGCATAGGGGGTGGTCTAGTCAGATCGGGGCAGGATTTATAGGGGATTCGAAATGACAATTTTCGAAGAAGATGATTTTCTCTCTTTCTCTCTCTCTCCCTCTCTCTCTCTCTCTCTCTCTCTCTCTCTCTCTCTGTCCCTCTCTCTTTCAGGTTGATCAGCCTAAAAAGCTGTATATTTCTCCCCAATTTAAATGGACGTGCCCATCCAAATAACGACCACAGTCGAGTTGAGAGCGAGGGAAAGCAAGAGCGAAAGAAAGCGAGAGGGAGAGAGAGATTGTGAGCGAGCGAGCAAGAACTAGCTAGAGGGCGGGAGTGAGGGATAGAGCGAGAGTCGGTTCATAGCACGAGAACCACTGATAAAGTGAGAAAGAAAAAGAGAGAGAGAAGATAGCGCGAGATAACGATTAATAGAGGGATCTAAGAACGTTTTGTACCAAGAGAGTGCGAGCAAACAGACAAAAAACAATTGTTTTCCTAGCGCCTTTAAAATCGCGTAACTAGGGTCAGTTCCCATTTGGACAAAATGAGACTAAAATTTGTTGAATTGCTTGAAGAAGAACTGGGGGTATTCTGTTGCCTTTAAAAAGCGTCCAGCTCGCCCCTAAAACTAGCCGGAAATACTACCAGGGGAGCGGGCGTAAAAAATGGAGCGCATGTCATGTCCAGTTTTACGACCGAGAGATCGTCCTCCCCTCTCTAAAAAAGCGCAACAAGCATCCGGTTCTAAAAAACGGGGAAATCCGGGCTTTTAGTGGCCATTTGGTGTGAGCATACACGATAAAAAGATGTGGATAAACCCTAAACAGTGGGCCAAGGTCTCTCCGAGGGGGGGATGGGTTCGCGCATGCTCTGTTCCGTTTCTATCCGTTTTGGTTCCGTTTCTTTTGAGCAACAGCTTCTCCTCCCCTCCCCCTTGAAAACCAGAGCGGAGCCATGGCAAGGTCATGCTCCTCTGGAAATGACCGCCACCTTTCGGGCATCCGTTGTACGAGGTGCTCTTTTGATTTGCGGGGAGGGTGGCAGGCTAGCAGAAATCCTTGGAGTATGAGGGTCTAGACAGGTTCGAACCATAGGCTTAGGATTGGGTTGGCTTCAGTTTGGACGTAGGCTCAAGCATAGGCTTGGCTTAGGCTTGGACGTAGGCTTAGGCTTAGGCTTAGGCTTAGGCGTGCGCTTGGCTGAGGACAAACTAGCATAGATTTTTATAGCATATGCTTTCGAAATAAAGCTGACTACCAGGAATTATTGAAGAATGGGGATCAAGCCAATTTTTTAATAGTGGCATGTAAGCAGCGTTTTTTTGGATGATAATGCGGTGAGGCAGGCTAGCAAAGATTATTTAGGAGTCAGACTTCAGCAATTTTTAAGGAAACAGAACCCAAAACAGGCAAGCTAGCAGCGATCCTTAGAGATTAAAACCCACCAAGCAGCGGCGTTTCCGACGATATGCTCTCGGTCATCGTGGTGCGTCCTGTGTACAGTTTTGGAATGGCAGGAACTAGGGGGAATGGGGGTGAATCGTGTCGTGTTCGCTCCTTTTGTAGACGCAGTAGAGGAGAAGCCCTTCAGGGGGTCCACTCGGATCATCTCGCCCTCCCCTCCTCACATCTCGTGCTCCTCTCCACTCCCTCCCTCCTCACTGCCAATGTTCCTGAAATAGCCGGTGAAGTGGGGGTGGTGAGGAGGGCGATACTTCAAGTAAGGCTAGAAAGAGTGACCATTCTCAGCTGGTCCAGGTGAGCCCCCCCCGCATTCAGGTTTTTCGTAATTCCGACCTCTCAGATCTAGGGTTTTCTTGAAACCTCTGAACTCACTTCCGGTTGACAAGTGGTTGAGGGGAGTGACGAAAAGAGGACGTTGAGGTAATTCAGTGCATACTAGGTTCAGAATTGAAAGAGAGAAATCAGCCTTGGAAGTTAAGACCGATGACGGAGCTAGCCTGGTGTCTAAGTCAAACTTCAAACAATCGTAAAAACCGCATACGCTGTGTTACAGCTTTGCCTATTAGCGCATCGTAAGCAGCGTTTCAAGTCGGTCCGGATGAGTCCGCAGCGAAATTCGGAAAAGCTCGACTGGCGGGCGCGAAATTTCGAAAAGATCGACGTGGACCTCTTTGCTCCAAAACGATGAAAAGCCGACACTTCAATAAATTCTAGCAACTATACACGGGCCTTACAGGCTTCGTACTAAACTTTTTTTGTCACTACTTTTTGTGATCTTTCAGATGCAAATTGAATTGTGTTGAAATCGCCGGATCGGCTGCAAATAGGCCTGGAAAGGTACCACGGATGACGGGGCTTGCCGGTGTCTGGGTGCTTAGGCTTAGGTGCCTAAACAAAACATCCTAAAAACCACAAACGTAATGATTTTGAGTTCTGAGTTTCGGAGAAGGTAAAAATTCTAGGTTACTTATCCCTTTAATACCTCCCAAGAGGCCTTTTCTTTCCAGCTTTACTACTGACCTTTCAGCCAATGACCCCCTCCGTCCCGCGCAGTCGAATCCTTTGGGGACTACGCGTCACGCCTCTGCACACTGCCATTTACCTAGCCTCAGGCCCCAGCGGAGAAGGGGGCCTCTC